AGGACGTCTTGATTGCACAATTCCCTGTTTGTTTCTCAGTTTTTCTGTCCACTCTGCCTTGTCGCTCAATTCTTTATAAGCTTTACGTAGAGCCCCTGTTTTACCTATGAATTTTTCAAATGTTCTTTGTCGTATTCTTCTTTTTTGTCGGGTAATATTTCTGTTAATTTTTTTGCTTATTCTTGTTATTTCACATTTTAATTCTTTTGTTCTTTTCTTCATGTATAACCCTTTTCTCTGTTCTAAGAGATCTTTTGTTTCTTCATTTATATATCTGTTTACATGTTTCTTTTTCCGTGGCAGCTGTTTCAGAAACTCTTGTAACTCTTGTTCTAGCTTGTCATATTGGTTTTGTACCTCTGCCTGTGTACGAACAGCTTCTGTAAATTTATTTCTCCAGAAGCTAGCGTTTTCTTCTGAAATATCTAGTGATTCTTTAATGTAAACGACAGAATTTATTTTCCTTCTTTTTGATTTTGGGAGCAAGGATAATTCACATCTAATCATCCTGTGATCAGAATTGAAGTTTAAGTTTTTTATTATATCTAAATTCTTTATATTGGTTGGTTGATTTGTTAGTATGTAGTCAATTTCGTTGAGATGTTGACTATTTGGGGATCGCCATGTCCATTTTTTGTGTGGTTTGCATGGGAACATGCTGTTCATGAAGTAGTAATCATTTTCGACTGCAAATTCTACTAGTCTCTGGCCGTGTGGGCTTCTTTTTCCGTACGCATATTGTCCAATATTCTTTCCTTCATTTTTTTGAGCTTTCCCAATTCTTGCGTTGAAATCTCCAAGTAAAATTATATTTTTTGTGTGGATAGTATCCAAGGCGGATTGCACTGTTGTATAAAAATGATCTATATCTTCTTTATTGCATTGTTCTGTTGGGGCGTATGATTGGACAAGTGACCAAGTTGAGTTATCAGATGTTTGTATTTCTAGTAAAGCTACCCGATCCGAGAAACTTTTTAAATTCACTATATTATTCTTTAAATGTTTTTTAATCAAGAATCCCACACCATTTCTTCCATTCGTCCCAGATGTATGAAATAAGATAAAATCGGTGTGTTCTTCTATTGCTTCTTTTTCTCTTCTTGTTTCACATAAACCTATAATATCCCATTTTATTGACATAACAGCGTATCTTAATTCCTCTATTTTGCTGTTTGATAATAAGGTCCTTACATTAATACTGGCTATGTAGAGGTTTTGTGGTTTTTGTTGTTTGTTTATGTTTATATTGTTGTTTTTATTATTAATCTTGTTTGATTGTTTTTTATTGTGATTTAGGAGGTGGTGGTCTGACTCCTCCACGGTGACCAGCCGGCTTGGGGGAGGTAGAGAGGTTGCAGAGACGCTAATTAGTTTTTTGAAATATCTTCTACGTTTACAGTTGCTATTGCTCGATTGTTGAGATTTAGCTGCGACGGACGTAGGAAGCTGGTTATAGTATGTGACTTATTTCTTTTAGGTACTTGTTTTGTTTTTTCGTTGTCGTATTCTTTTGCAGTTTCATTCACTGTTTCTTCAGGCGATTTAGACATAAAACGTTTGTTTATGTTTCTTTCTGTGGGCGTATGTACTTCAGATACACGTGCTTTTAGTGTCACAATTTTGTCGTATCGTAAAGCCACTCTTTTTCCTGACTCTCTCTCGCGTTTAAGGTCTTCTTGTAACTCTTTCCGTTTTTGTAACACGCTAGGTGGAAAATCTTCTTTCAGGTAAATATTTGTACCCTCCAGCGATTTTTTCTTCTTAAGTATCTCTATTCTCCTGCTTGTTGTTGTTATTGTGACAACCACTGGTCTGACTTTTCCTGATTTTTTTCCCATCCTATTTACGTGTTCGATTTCCCATTTCTGGCAAGGTATTTCCATTTCGTTGTTAATTATATCTAAAACTATGGAGAGTAAACTTTCATATCCCTGTTCTTTTTCTTCGATCCCAAAGAATACAATATTTTTTCTTCTAAGCTGTTTATCTAAGTTTTCTATGGTTTTTTATTGTTGTTCAATTTTCGTTTCTAATTGTTTAGTTTTATTTTCAAAAATAATAAATTTTTCGTCTATTTTATTATTTATAGATTCTTTGATATTTTGCTCCATCTCTTTAATTTCTTGCTTGTTTTTTGATATGTCGTCTTGTATGTTTTGTAAAATTTTTAAGACTTCCTCCATTGTAAAAGTAATAAACACGCCCTCTATTACAATTGCAACAAATGTTTGGTATTTACTGCTTGCGCAGGGTTTGAATCGTATCTTATAGGTAGTTTTGTTAATTGCCGATAGATGGCGCTATTGTGAGTATTTTAATGGCAATGATTTTTATATTTTTCTATGAGTAATTTGAGGTTATAATATAAATTTTTCTAAACGGATTTTTTTTTTACCTTTATTCCTTTCTTGGATTTTAAATAACTGGTTTAGTTGATCTTATGCGTTGGTTTCTTCAATATTTCACAGTAGAAGCGTCTAACTTTGAGTTTAGTTACCGGCAGTTTTTCGGATATTTTTACGTCAATATCAAATTTGTGAAGCACAAAACATTTGTCCGATAAATTTTCAACTTATTTCAGGTGTTTATAGCTACTACACTTCAATTTACAAACTTTTATATTTAATAAAACACAATTATATGGCAGAGCCGATGTAAACACGAGCACAGTCGCGACCTCTCTCAGAACATAGCAGATGCAAAATGCAGATTTCCTGGAAATCAAAATATAATCAAAATTCCTTTCAAAAAATTCCAAATTAGGAGCTTTTTAGGTGCTAATTAAGTACGAAGTTTAAAAATTAGTTGCTCCAAAATTTTCACCGCAACGAACCATTGAAATTTGCGTTGCTGGCAAAACGTCTCGCTAGCAACGCAATGACTTTACTAGATATACGATTAATATTAATAGCAAGTAATTAAGTGCTAATTAAGTGCTGAGCGATTATCGAGACCCGATACAGATTAAGATATTATTCTGGGAATTATGGGGTCCACAACCACCATTACCTTCCTAAAATGTATGAACGGTATTTTTTGTTCTTTATCAGTGCCTAAAAATTTCCACTCGGCTGGGCAGCGTTCGGGAAACTACGACACATCTTCTCGTTAGACATACCTCAAAACCTAAAAACGAAATTGTACAACCAGTGCGTGTTGCCAGTGATGATTTACGGATCTGAGACGTGTTCCTTCACTACTGGCCGTATGAGGAAGCTCAAGGTCGCTCAGCGAGTTATGGATAGGGCTATGCTCGGAGTTTTTCTGCGTGATAAACTTAGAAATGAGGATATCCGCAGTAGAACCAGAGTAACCGACATAGCCCAATGGATTAGTAAGCTGAAGTGGCAGTGGACCGGCCATATAGCTCGAAGAACCGACAACCGATGGGGAACAAAGGTTCTTGAGTGGCAGCCTCGTACCGGTAGGCGCAGTGAAGGGCGACCCTCCGCTAGATGGAGTGACGACCTGGTAAGACATGCAGAAACTCAATGGATGCAGGTGGCTCAGGACCGTGCTTTGTGGCATTCCTTGGGGGAGGCCTATGTTCAGCAGTGGACTTATGAAAGGCTGTAATGATGATGATGATTCGTTGAGTTTATTTAGTTCAAATGCCACAACGAACAAAACCAACGAGTCAAGCGAGAGGGGGGGGGGGTGGTTGTCAATCATTCGCTTTCGAGATTACTTTTTCTATTAATTTGTTTAATGTAGAATGATGAATCATGGCTCGTAAGTTACTTAAATTTTGTATACATGTATATGACGCTATTGTACCAAACATATAAAATAAAATTATGTTACTTAATTTTAGCGATTATATTTACTTTGAGTTTTTATGTCTGATTATGAGACACATCTCTAGTTTAAAAAAAAATAACGGCTAGTATGCATAATATGTAACTGCGTACGCAAGTAAATTAAATGAAACTTTTATAATTTTAATAGTTAATGTTAATGTAATAGTCATATTAAAATAGAAAAAAAAAATAACAACAAATTCAGTGTTATTTCCTCATAGTTAAAAATGTTGTCGTAATCTTGCAAACGCACGTAATTTACGTTCTAGTAACCTGTCAGCCTGTCTGCCTGTCACCTTCGCTATGCTATTACGCAAAGACTATACGCTAAAGTTTTATCATTGTGACTTTGGAATGTAATCCGAAGCCACGCGCAAAAAATATAAGCATCCAAGCCAAAAATCGTAAGCAAAAAGCGTGCAGCAACTGTCACAGTCATGTCGGTGTCAAAGAGTTTTGGCGGGAACTTGACCGGCGGCTATTTGCTGCTCCTGTATTATAGTTTAAATAATAGTTTGAAGTGGAATTTGGTATGTAAAAGTGGTGCGATTTTATGTATTAACTGTCTACGCATGTGAACTATTAGTGGAAACGGTTAAACAAGTGCTCTGATGGTGATGGATTCTCAAGATAAGCTGTTTGTTTGCATGGGCGCCTTTAGAGTTAACGGTGGTAGAGCCACGCAGCAGCTTTTGCTGTCGCACGGATGGGCCGGCTCGAACCGGGGTAGTACCACGACCTCACAGAAAACCAGCGTGAAGTAGAGGTTTACCTCTGTGTTTCGCTTGGTGAGTGCAGGTGGCCGGAGGCCCTTTTTACTGGAAATGAGGCATTTCATCTTAGTCCTCACGGGTGACAACGCATCTACATTTTGATTTGTAACAGAGGATAGATGTAGATGTCTATGGGCCGCAGCAACCACTTACCATCAGGTGGACTGTGTGCTCGTTTGTCACCCTTATCCTATAAAAAAAAAAGATACCATCGCCAACTGTCAGCTGTCTGCTGGCTCAAGTTGCCGTCAAAATCTCCCAAGGGCTGCACAATGTGACGCATCAACATATTGTGAAGCAGTGAAATTCTATATACTCAAAATAAAAAAGATAAGGCTGTATGGCATAGTTCCTTTGCCTGCTCTTTCGAGCGAATAATAAAAATAACAACATGTCGGTGTCAATGTCAAAACGAATTCTTTTTTTTAGTCATGTTTATAGTGATGGTGGGGAAGGATACGCAGCTTTAATTTCAAAATATTACGTATTTTTCATAATATATATTATGTTAGAATTGTACAATTTGCTCATAAGCTGCAAGATTTGCTTTTATTGTTGATAAATCAATGAATAATTACAGGTAAATATAGTATTACTTATTGACTCATAGTGAAAGTGCATATTTATTTGGTATATAAGTCATAGGTTCAGTATCTTGTTGTTTTAAATAAATAAACTAAATAAAGTATAAAAGATAAGTCGGGGATAAGTATATGAAAGTTGACCCTGTGTTCAGAAAATTTATTATTCGCCTCCAAATTATTAATTTTTATTCAATACGTCTAAAACAAGCAAACGGGTTTTTCTGACCTTGTAATAGCGTTCCTGTTCTTATTGCTTCCTTTTTCGCAGATTTTAGTACATTTATACATAGTGACTAATGGTTCGTTTAGCTGGCTATAACTAAAGAGTTAATAAATTACTTTGCATAGCTAAAACTATGTGCAGATGATTGCGATTGATTAAAGTCAAACGTATTCAATTTATTTATAGCTGACAGAAATTTAGCCAGTTGCTTTCGGTTAAAACTGGTTCCAGTAAAGTTCGAATAATATTAAAATTGTTATAACTTCAATCAAGTAATATCAGCAACAGTAGGTTGAGGTTAAGGTCAAAGTAAGGTAAGGTAAGGCCCAAGGACCATTCCAGCTGCACCACATTAATCATCATCATCAACATTATTACAGCCTTTCATAAGTTCACTACTGAACATAGCACTCCCTCAAGCAATGTCACAAAGCATGGTCCTTCATCCATCGGCCGCACCTAGTAGTAGCTGGCTAAACCTAGATAAACAAATATACTAACATAATTAGTATATAGTAATAACAGTATTTAGAAAAATTGTTAATTGACTCAGATCTGAAATTAATGATTTTTTTTACTATGCTATTTCAACATACATACCACCAGCTGCCAACCTACCGATAATATAGTCCTTATGGCAGACTCGCAGTAGGACCTAAGCACTATGCTCAATGACCTCAATAGTGCCTGCCAACAGGTAGGTCTTAAGATGAACATGGACAGAACAAAGATCCTGTATATGTCACACCTATGCAGGTAGTTGTTGGGAGCACTAAACTCTTAGTTGTAGACGAGTATGTTTACCTAGGATAAATAGTCCGACTAGCTATGTCCAAATTCGACAGAGAGGTCAATCAACAGATTTTTGGCTGGGCAGCATTCGGGAAATTACTACACATCTTCTCGCCGGGTATACCTTAAAGCGTGAAAACGTGTTTGTACAACCAGTGCGTGTTGCCAGTGATGACTTATGGATCTGAGAGGTGGTCCTTCACTGCTGGCCGTATAAGGAAGCTCAAGGTCGCTCAGAGAGCTATGGAGAGGGCTATGCTCGGAGTTTCTCTGTGTGATAAACTTAGAAATGAGGATATCTGCAGTAGAACCAGAGTGACCGACATAGCCCAACAAATTAGTAAGCTGATTGGCAATGGGCTGGCCATTTAGCTTGAAGAACCGACAACCGAAGGAGAAAAAAGGTTCTCGAGTGGCAGCCTTGTACCGGTAGGCTAAATGTGGGGCTAGCCCCCACTAGATGGATTGACGAGCTGGTAAAACATGCAGGAAGTCGATGGATGCAGATGGCCCAGGACTGTGCTTTGTGGCATTCTTTGGGGGAGTCCTATATTCAGCAGTGGACATGTGAATAGCTGTAATGATGAGTTAAAGTATCACTGTTTTTCCAAATAGGAGGATAGCATCAGGTATGAAGTCCTTGACACTGCTGCTCGTCAATGGTCTGAATATTATACATCTGATGTAAATGAGATTGTATACATCTTGATACAATGATATACATCTGATGTGGTCTATTCATTGACCTAGATCATTGTTATTTGAGGGCTTCACCTAATGGTTCATACAGCGACGGTCTTATTGAAGTTAAATGCCCTATTTCAGCTTTCGGAATAGATTTTGACACGGCCTGTCGACAAAAAAAAAGTTAAAGGTTATAAATTCAGTGATTCAAGTGAAATATTAAATCAAAATAATGACTGGTTTTACCAAATCCAAGGCCAGCTTCATTTAGCATATAAAAATGTCTGAATACTTGCCATAATATGTATTGGCCCAGATTATGCAGTAAAAGTACTAAAAATTTACAAACACGACCAATTTTAGATTTTCAATATGTTACCCAAGTTACAAGCTTTTTATGAAAAGTGTGTACTGCCTAAAATTATCGACTCAAGAAAAGTTCAGTCAATGCCGTCGCAGCAAATATTTTTCTAATAAAAAATATGGTAATTGACTGTAAGTACCGATTAAAAAATATTAGTTACATTTGGTTGTTATATTTATTAAAACATTTTGCAACCGTTTATTTATTTATACCACTATTATATACACCGGTAGTAGACATAATCGATTATTAATATTCGATTATGGCGTAACAATTAAAATATTTATGTGCACTTATTTTGACACTAAATTTCATAAATAATTAATAATATATCAAAATGGTATATAATAATAAATAATAAATTATATAATAATAAATTAATAAGATAACATTAAAATGACACACCAAAAAATATTCCATCCACTGAAGTCCATCCTAAGAAAACTTGTATTATGGAAGATCAAGATAGTTTAATCGCCATACTCACAGTATCATAGTGCGAGCGAGTGAATAGATATGAAAGAAAGTATCGGTCGCGTAGGTCGCCGCCCGCTCGGTGCGTAAAATACCTAAATTTGCGAAACGCCGAAATGTAATAGGGCTCTTAACAATTTATTGAAATAGTATTTTGTATGTTTTAAATGCCTACCAGCGACTGAGATCTATAGACCATACTCTGAGTTTGAACAGACTTTACTTTTGAGCTAAGACAATGTCGGTATTTATAGAGCTAACTTCGAAGTTGTGCTGAGTGCGTGCGTGCTTAGCAAAGCCTAAGTCAACGAAATCAACAACTTACATAAAACTCTTTTTTCTTTTTTCTGTACTCTTCTTATACATTGCCATTCTCATACCCTCATTTTCTATTTCATATAATAATAACTTATTTATGAAATACAATTAATATAATACACGACCGCTCCATGGCTCAGTGGCTTAGCAACGAGTTGTTGCGCTGGGGCCGCGGGTTCGAATCCCGCTCGGAACAAGTATTTGTATGACCTACAAATAATTGTTCCGGGTCTGGATGTTTGTCTTCGTGCAATGTATGTTTGTAAACTGCCTCCACGATACAGGAGAAAATCCTAGTGTGGGGGTAGTTTTTTTTTTTTTAAAAAAAGTGAACAAATATATGTTTTGACTAGCTGTTCCCCGCGACTTCGTTCGCGTGTTAGGGTTTTTATGTTTCTGCGCGGAACCCTGATTCTCTTTCTAAAATAAAAGTAGCCTAAGTTACTCCTTATGAAATCAGCTATCTGCCAGTGAAAGTCCCGTCAAAATCGGTCCAGCCGTTTCCGAGATTACCCGGAACAAACAGACAGACAGACAGACAGACAGACAAAAATTTTAAAAATTGTATTTTAGTTATAGGTATCGTATTTACTTTCATATACATTTAGTAAAAAACTGTAATTTTGACATTACAAACAGACACTTCAATTTTATTTATTTGTATAGATGAAGGGTGAATGCTGTGGTCCATGGACACCTACATCTATCCTCGATTATGAACCAACATTGCAGATGACTGACATCTAATTTGGAATGCCATGTTACCGTTAACAAGGGGTAACGTTTTTTAAAACAAAATTAAAAAAAAATTAAAATATGGACTGTTTTCGTTTTTTACATATTAATTTTTTTTAATTTTATACAGTAAATGCAAGAACATAATGTGTGGAATGAAGCATCCATTAATTTTTTAACTGTCTGAGCCTTAGCTTAATTTTAGCCCGATACACAAGTATAAATTAAAAATAAAAGATTATGCTAAGCATATACTCAGCTAAGTTCTACATAAATAAATTCTGAGCAAAGTCAAAGTATGGTCTATAGTTCTCAGCCGTAAACATAGATTATTATATATATTTGAGACCGTAAGGTTCAACTGTGAAAATTGACGATAATTAATGATTGGATTTGTTCAGAAACAACAAAAGAACAATTTCAAAGATGTTTCCTAAAGTTTTGCATTAACAAACATTGACATGTTTCGGATTTTTTTTTTCAAAACTGTTCTATCCAGGGCACGTCTATGTATAAACCTAGATAAAAAAGAAACTCATTAGCTTATTGATCCTACAGCATTTTGTGTGTATGCCATAGTGAATATCAAATGAAATTATGTTATTTCTCCACGCTAATTTACATGTAGTAATTATAATAATAATAAACGTGAATTTATTTGCAGATCACCTGCCCATCATCTATAATGACCAACCAAAAGATCTATCTTGTTCTTGCTGGACTATTTTGGTTAACAAACTCAGAGTATATTCCACCGGGGCCAGCATATCCATGTCCAAAAGCATCCGAGAGCCATTTGTTGTACCCTTGTGTTTGTCAAAAGGGAACGGATTTAGGGCTACACATAAGATGTGAAAATGTAGGGCTTGCAGTTTTGAGTGTGGGGCTGGGCAACATTGCTGGGTTGGGGTTGCCCATTGAACAACTAGAGTTGCACGACTGTAAAATAAGTAAGTATAACTGGTAATGTACTTGTGCATTACTAATAATATGTACATGATACAACATAATGTTAAGACAACACACACCAGGCACCTTATTGTAATGGAAATTGTTTAGTTACATATATAAACACTCACGCCTGTCAGCCAGAGGGGGGTAGCCAAATATTTTTAGCTCTGTTAACATTTTTCATATACCATTAATCATATAATATGAACATTTCCATTGTTTAACTATTGTGTCTATATTGCTGGGAAAGATAAGGAAATTATCAACTGTGACATAATCTTTTCATTATATATTTTATAATTATTTCGTTTTTAACAGAATTCAAAAACCTCATAACTTTTGAGGAGCTTTTGGTGAACCGATTTTGATTCTTTATTTTTATTTTATTTGAAAGCTGGTGCTTCTCATGTGGTCCCATATAAATTTGATCATATTCAAACAGAGAAGGGGTACAGGAAGCTAAAATATAAATTTTAGCTTCCCATACCCTTTCTTCATTTATTATTTTATTTAATACACAAGTAATTTAGGTGAACGGCATAGTCGGGAAGGGTCGCCCTAGGCGAAAGTTTATCGACCAAATTGGCGATATATTAAAAATGGGCCAAATCAAGAGTACCTTTAACCGACGAGCGTGTATGCGTAGGTATATGGATGTGGAGGAAGCGAGAGAGGTGTGTCAGGATCGTGCCAAATGGAAGTCCATAATCTCTGCCTACCCCTCTGGGTGACAGGCGTGAGTGTTTATGTAATTATGTATGTACAAGTAATTTATTGTATATTCATAATGCTAATATCAAACACTTAATAGTCTGTGGCCAAACGCACAAAGTAGAGGTTGTTGCCAAAGAATTTTTAGAATGTTTAGGATAAGGGTGATAAACGAGCACACAGTCCACCTGATGGTAAGTAGCTGCTGTGGCCCATAAACATCTACATCTATCTTCGATTACGAATCAAAATGCAGATGTGTTGTCACTTGTGAGGACTAAGATGGAATACCTTGTTTCCAGTAAAATGGGTCTCCGGTTTTCTACACTCACCATACGAAACAGCGGCGTTCAGTTGCTATTTTGCGCTGGTATTCCGTGAGAGCGTACTTCCCCGGTCGAGGTGACCCATTCGTGCCACAACTATATCGCTAATATAGCTGCAGCACGGCTATACCACGTAAAAAATAAAAAGCCATAAGATTTTTCTGGCATTTCCCATGGTCGCGTATTTGGGGTGGTGGACCGCGTTGCGCCGCGACCATACAGCAATAATATATTCTGTTTGTAATGTCAAAGTTACAGCATTTTTCTAAACGCATATGAAATTATATATGGTACCAATAACAAAAATACAATTTTTAAAGTTTTTGTCTGTCTGTCCGTCTGTCCGTCTGTCTGTCCGTCTGTCCGTCTGTCCGTCTGTCTGTCCGTCTGTCTGTCCGTCTGTCTGTCTGTCCGTCTGTCTGTCTGTCCGTCTGTCTGTCCGTCTGTCTGTTTGTCCGTCCGTCTGTCTGTCTGTCTATTTGTTCCGGCTAATCTCCGAAACGGCTGGACCAATTTTGACGGGATTTTCACTGGCAGTGAGCTGATGTCACAAGGAGTAACTTAGGCTAATTTTATTTTAGAAAAAGAAATAGGGTTCCGCGCAACAAAATTAAAACCCCAAATAACACGCGGGCGAAGTCGCGGAGAACAGCTAGTATATAAATAAATAACACAAGAAATGGTGTGGAGACACGGGCAATCGCCAATATACCTGAGAAACATGGCGATTATGATAAGCCCTTGATATCTACATCTGGCTGGCACTGTGAAATGGCAATGAAGAGATGAGATAGCCTTTTAATGTATATTTGTATGATTTAATTTCAGCAAACCTCTTCGGATCGCTGTTCCACAGATCAACAGTCAGGGTACTGCATATCGTTGACACACCCATCAAAACAATCGACGAGTTTGCCTTCGCGGGAGTGAACAGGACATTGCAAGAGATTTACATACGTAACACAAAAATATCACAATTTCCAAAGGATGCTTTCAAGGTATAGTTGTTTTCCAATATAGAAAAAATAAAATCACTAACAGACCGTAGTTTTCTACCGACTTCAAAAAGGTGGAGGTACTAAATTCGACTGTATTTTTTCTTATCTTCTTCTTTTTTTCCGTCTTTATGTGTGTTACCTCATAACTTTTTTCTGGGTGAACCAATTTCGATGATTGTTTTTTGTTTGAAAGCTGGTGGTTCTCATGTAGTCCCATATAAATTTGATCAAGGTCTCACCAATAGTTTTTGAGTTATCTTTAATAATTTATATTGAAGTCGGTTGTACAAAATTTTTAATTTTAAATTAAGGTGCAGAAGGGCAATCTTGACTGCGGGAAATTTCTACTAATCGCAATAACTTTCGTATTTTACATAACTCATTATTGCGCCATTTATGTCCGGAAAGAGGAAAATCGATTTCATAATTACACCATATATGGCGTCGATAGCCCTAATACTGTTTTGTTTTTGACAAAATTTTATGCATGCATGTGCGAATAGGCTGGTCTAATTTTAATATGTTTTTCCAAGATTTTTAAAGGCGAGTCGTATAGCTTGTTACAAATTACTAGCTTAATTATGCAGCTGTAGCTTGTGTTTTAATGGTATTTTGGCGAGTTTAAGTAAACCTAAAATTCTGATGTCGATCTAATTTCAACTATTTGGCAGTTGAAATTACCCCTCCAGATTTTGTATGAAAATGAATAAACACTAGTGATGTGCATGTTTCGATATTTAACCGATGTAAATACTTACTTTTTAACGATACTTACCCTGTGAAGAGTTATGTTTCTATTATAATACCTCGAATTTAGCATTGAATATACTTCACGACACTAGTTAAAGTCTTTTTTTGTGTTTTTTTTATTGCAGATGGTTCGCCACTTTATAAAAAACTGAAACTGCCTTTTTATGAAACTTTTTTGTTTATCTAAGGGAAAAAACATTTAAATAGGTGTGCATCATAAATGTGACTCAAGGCGAAATTGTGGTACAAAGATTTCATTCTTTAAAAAATAATAAAAAACAATTTCTCGTTATTGAAAATGACCACTCAATCATTGACGAAGACGAGATAATTGATTGTTCTCCCGACCCTGAAGTGAAAGGCGTAGATTATATATTTCCAAACAATATTGATATTGAAGAATTTAGTTAAGATATGAGTTTATCAATATTGATCTCACAGTGCTAAGTCTGAAAATGTAATTAGGTTCTATTAAGTTGTTGATGATAATTTAAGTTTTTAATTTTAAATGATAAATATTTTTGTATTTGAAATTTAATACAGTTTGTTAATTAGGAATACTAACTCCGTATAAGACTGATGTTTTGTGCCAAATATTAATGAATTTCCTACACTTGATATTTTTGATTTTGCAAAAGGTTATTTGTAATTTCAAGGAATAGAGTAAGACTGTATGCTATGTAAGCTCATGTGTTGATTTTCAAAACGCTACATTTTCATGATAGAAAACGTAGTGTTTTTATATGTATTCATTTTATTTCATAAATAAATAAGAAAATCAAACGTGATACAAAAAGATGTGTGAACATATCTATCGACATATATTTTTACCACGTGTCACATCACTATTTACTTAAACGACCAGTTGAAATTAACCCGCTGAAAAATTTTATGCGTTTTTTACAAAAGTAATCCTAGTTTCATAAATAATAGGGTTTAATTTAGATTACCGACCCTGTGACTAAATTTAGAAGCTCGATTTTAGCAATCTACACTATAACGGCACTTATAATCAATTCCCCCTCCATTTTCAATTACAATTATTTTTGCTTTTTTTTAATAACAAACACAATTTGAAGTTGCATACAATCAATATTTCTAAATGCGAATCTGTAACAATAAAGCATAATATCTGTAAGTCTGTAACATAAATTATACTCTTGCAGCAAGCATGAATGCAGAGATGAATGCAATCAATTTTCAGTAAAATGAATGTAGATAGTATTTTTTAGTATTCAAAGTTGTTCTTTGTAACTTACCAGTTAAAATTGCCCCGCTGCACCTTATTGCTGACAAACGAGCATACAGTCCACCTGATGGTAAGTGGTAGCTGTGGTCCAGACATATTCATCTATCCTCGGTTAAGAATCATAATGCAGTTGCGTTTTCACCCCCTGAGGACCAAGATAGAATAGTTAGTTTCCAGTTAAAACTGTCTCAAATTCTCTACACTCACCATACGAGACAGCAGCATTAAGCTGCTATTTCACTCTGGTATTCTATGAGAGCGTGGTTCTTCCCTGGTCGTGCCGACCCATTTGTGCTGCAATCATAATATAGATGAAGCGTGGCTCAACCACTTATTAATATGTATGCACAATTTCAGATAATTGGGGATTTAGAAGCGAGACTGAACTGAATTGATAAATTTCTTTATATATATACATACTTGCACACATTCATACATAACACACACACACACACACACACACACACACACACACACACACACACACACACACACACACACACACACCCACACACACAAACACATACTTATTATTTAAACTAATAAAAAAGCGTGTTGAAAAGATGCTATTTTCGAAGTCAAAACTTCTTTCGAAACGTTGCGACTTGAAACTCCATGAAACGTAAGCGACACTAAACATATACACTTATAGGATTTAGCCTGCGGGAGAATAAGATAATGGCAGGGTGCGGACCGCAAACTCATAAGGTTGTGGGTTCAAATCCGCCATTCTGAACTGCCGTGAACCACTCCTAACACAAGCATTTTCAGCTTACCGGCGGTAGTGGTTAAATGTTAATAGAATTGCTAGTATTTAAAAAAAAGAGTTTCCTGTTATCTCGGTGTCCACTTTATGTGGTGCTTTAAAGATGGTTAATGTAAATTTTAACTGTTCGATCAAAAATCGATTTCATAATCTATTTTACGTAATACCTCAATCAATTTTTGTTCGATAAAATTACTTTACCTATAGAACGAAGTAGATGGCGCTTACAAAGCAATTTTACTTGAAAGAAAATGTTGTTTGTTAATAAATATGTCTAAAAATAAGGATTGTAACATTTATTTGCTATTTAATTGAACTTTTATCTTAAATTTTATGTGTTCAAAATTATCATATTAAATAAATCGATATTAAAATAACATTTATATACATTTTATAGGCCATACTACTTCTCTGCATTCGTCTCATTCTCTCAAAGTTTAGTTTTCTGAAGGTTCCACTTCTACCGCGTGTGAACTGCACACATGTTTTTATAAATTTATTTATATTTTTATTTTATAAACCTACAATAATTCTACTCCCGATACTGTGCATTCGTCTCATTCTCTCGAAGTTTAATTTACTGAAGGTTTCACTTCTACCGCGTGTGAACTGCACCCCTTTTTTATCATCAATACTGATAACGCTATAAAATAATTTATATTAATCCCTTTAAACAGTGCATCTAAGTTAAAAAAATACTTGTGCTAACACATGACTTTTTACTGTTGCTTTCTACCGTCAAACACAACTACTGGTGCTTACATTCTGTTAGTTCAATCACTAAATTTATTTACAGATCATGGGGAATCTGTCAATATTGTCCATAGACGGGCATCAGATGAAGTCACTTGATAAGGACATCTTTGGAAGCAGTGAAGCTGCCGGCAGTTTACTGCGGCTCCATCTCGTCAATGGTCATTTATCTGATATACCAGTTGAAGCATTTCAGGTATATTAATTTTCTTTTATTTTCTTTTAATTTTTAATACCGTTTTTGTTATGATTTTGTTTGTTTTATAAGGAATGTAAACAAGTAGTTACAGGCTATATATAATAATAATAATAATAAATAGTAGTGTCCTCAAGACCGATTTCGATCACGGTGGCCACTCTCAACGAAATCTAGCCATCTGCGCAGATCACACACCAAAATTTGGTATGGAGGACATTATTACAATAAAGTATAAATAAGTAAAAACCCGTAATTGATATTTCATCACCAGCAAAACTCAATAATAATGTAAAACTACAGTTGCCAATTCGCCAACCAATCGTGGCAACAGTGTTAGCTAATATTACCTTATATATGAGCCCATGGGGGAGACTTATGTTCATTAGTGGTCTTGTGTTGGGCTGTACTGATCATCATGTTGATGAAATTGACACTAAAAAAAAAAATAGAAAATTATGCGGCATACAAGGCTAGATATTGTATTATAAGAAATTATCTCATTTTTGATGTTAGAAATTACTCTCAAAATTATTTATATAAAAGAATACAACTTGGTAAAATATCACAAATGGAACATAAAAATATGTAACACAGTTAGTAGTTGGAAGTAAATAAAACATTAAAATTGACGAAGTATACAAACCAACACCAATACTGCCTGCCTATCACGATGTGATAGAGAATATAACGCAATATAACTTTCTTTAACATTCACTAAAGATATAATAATTTACCCTAAGGACATAATAACGACAGTGAGACTCGTAGAATTTTTTTAATTTTTTTCTTTAAAAAAAGTTACCCCCACACTAGGATTTTCTCCTGTATCGTGGAGGCAGTTTACAAACCCAAATTGCACAAGGACAAACATCCAGACCCGGAACAATTATTTGCAGGCCATACAAATACTTGTTCCGTGCGGGATTCGAACCCGCAGCCCCCAGCGCAGCAACTCATTGCTAAGCCACTGCGCCACGGAGCCGTCAGAGTTAGCCGTTGTAGAATTACTGGCTGATTCCTGCCAGTCGCCTATGCGATATTTTATACTGCTAGAAAGAGTGGCAGATTACAGTTCTACCCTCACTTCGTATTTTCTTTTATTTTCTACCCTCATTCCTAACAGTTACTCATTCTTAACATACTTGACGGATACCAATTTATGAGTGATTTCGACGATTTTCAATAATTTTACCACCTCGTAGGTTCGCAGGTGTTTATAGAAATATCCTAATTGTTGTAACGATAATAAGACCATGAAAAACAAACGGTATCATTTCAGAATCTTAAAAAGTTACGAACGTTGGACCTGCATGGCAACAGGTTGGCCAATTTGAAACGCAACCAGTTCAAGGGAATGCGTGCCTTAGACGTGCTGGATTTAAGGTTAGTCTGACTTAGAAGTTTTATTGATGATGTTAAAAATTAAATTAGCTAAGAGAGGTAATATAATAAAATTATGTGTCTTACTTTCAAGAAAAGTGCCTACTTCTTTCTAAAAGGCCGGCAACACACCTGTGATTACACTATTGTTGCAGTTGTTCATGAGTAGTGGTGAGCACTTACCATCAGGTGGCTGTATGCTCGTTTGCTCTTTCATAAAATACCTAGTTTGAAAAGTACCTTGTCACCGTCACCACTAAGAAACTCACTCACTTTTTATACGGGTCGGCTCGACCGGAGAAGGACCGCGCTCAAACAGAATACCAGTATAAAGCTGCTGTGTTTCGTGTGGTAAGTGTAGAGACCCTTTTTACTGGAAACAAGGCATTCCATCTCAGTCCTCACGGGTGACAACGCATTTGCGTTTTGATTTTTGATTGGGGAGAAATGTAGGTGTATATGGGCCGCAACATCCACTTACCATCAGGTGGACTGTGCTCGTTTCTCATCCTTATTTTAAAAATTTACGTGGTTTTACGTGGTAGAGCCATGCCGCAGCTATATTGCAGCTATACTGGTATAGTTGTAGCACGAATGGGTCGGCTCGACCGGGGAAGGACCACGTTCTCACAGAATACCAGCGTAAAATAGCAGCTTAACGCTGCTGTGTTTCGTATGGTGAGTGTAGAGAACCGGAGACCCTTTTTACTGGAAACGAGGCATTCCATCTTAGTCCTCATGGGTGACAACGCATCTGAATTTTAATTCGTAATGGAGGATAGATGTAGATGTCTATGGGCCACAGTAATCACTTACCATCAGGTGGACTGTGTGCTCGTTTATCACCCCAATCCTATAAAAAAACTGCGGGCAGCCACCGTAGAGGCTACTTCACCTGAGAGTTCCTCGTGTAGAGGTTATATTTGTGTTGTATTATCGATGTGGTGTGCCATTCCTAGTGTATTGGTGCTGGGATTAGTGGCGGCGGGGATAGTGCACACAATTGTGGAAGGGTGGGAGGTGCTCTCCAAAATGGTGAGAAACATCATTTCATTTTATGTCGCGGATCTTAGTTAATCTTTAATATAATGGATTTCTTAAATGTAACGCCTGATTCTATTAATTATCTTACATATTATGTTAATTAACAATTTTTACATTTTCAAACTAACGACATTACGGATTAGTAAGTTGAAGTGGCAATGTGTCGGCCATATACCTCTAAGAACCGACAACCGATGGGGAATAAAGGTTTTCGAGTACCGGTAGCCTAGTACCGGTAGGCGAAGTGTAGGGCGACCCCAACTGTATGAAGTGTCGACCTGGCAAGACATGCATCAAGTCGAGAGATGTAGGTGGCTCATGACCGTGCTTGGTGGCGCTCCTTATGGGAGGCGTATGTTCAGTAGTGGCCTTGTGAAAGGCTGTAATGGTGATGATGACGAAGCTAAAGGTAATGGCGGGTTTTGTTTACGTTCTAGTTACAACAACATCACGAAGCTGGACGGCAGCCACATCGGCGACCTCACCAATTTGGGCTGGTGCAACGCCAGCCACAACCTTATAGCGGACATACCTAGGTGTGTATATATTTTATAAACGTTACCTTCAGACTAGAATTTTTTCAGGCGGGCAGTTTACATACAATAAATTGCACAGGGACTATAACCAGAACCTGAACAATGATTTTTAGGAAATACAAATACTTGTTCCGTGCGGGATTCCGCAGCCGCAACGCATAAAGGGAAACTAACGACTTGCTTTGTCTTTTGTAATGTGTTCTAGCAATGGAGTAGAATAATCTGCCGGCATCTCTGGGCATCTTCAAGGTAAGAGTGAATAGACTTTTGTTACGCAAACACTGCGTCCAAAAACCATCTGACGCTCTAAGGTTAACTCTCCTGTTACTCAGGTTAACATTTTACAGTAGCTAGGGTCGCATTGATATGTGTATGAATTGTTGGTTATGTTGCAATAAAGGTGGGATTGTAAATAGAAACCGAAACTTTTTTATTCAATATAGAATATAAATAATAGAGTACGTGAGGGTAATATGGTCATCCGGTTAATATGGTCACTTTCTTATAACTCAAAATGTACAGCCTAATTTGCATAGATGGCTTTGTGATACGATAGCTCTTCATCAGTCATTCAAATAATAAAGGACCTAAAGGCTGCCGGTTAATCGTCGCCATTTTGACAATTGATATTATAGTAAGTACGTGAGGGTAATACGGTCACTTTAAGCTTTATCGCCCTATAAAACCAAAATTAGGAGGAGTACAGAGCCAAAAACACAAAGTCGTATGCTATAACTAATATATTAAGAAAAAAATAGAAAACAAGCTTTGGAAATAATTAGGAACACTTCGAAAAATCTACTTATAAAAACTAACTACACAATACAATAATCGACTAAAATATTTACAATAATATCAACTGTCAAAATGGCGTCGATAAAGGAGCGCCTTTCTGACCCTTTATTATTTGACAGACTGATCAAGAGCTATCGTATCACAGAGCGTTCTAGGCAAACGACGATGTAGTTTTTGAGTTATAAGAAAGTGACCATATTAACCGGATGACCATATTACACTCATCCCTCACGTATTATAGTTAGTTTTTTTAAGTTGATTTTTCGAAGTGTTTCTAATTATTGCCTAGGCTAGTTTGTTATTTTTTTCTATATTAGTTATAGTATACGACATTGTATATTTGTCTCTGTTCTCCTCCTAGTTTTGGTTTTATAAGGCGGCAAAGCTTAAGATGACCATATTACCCTCACGTAATTTACTTATTGAAAGTCACTATTTTGTTTAATTACCACTGGTTCGGCAAAAACCTCTGTTCTCGAAAGAACCAGCAAGAAACCCAGGGGAACCTTAAAAAGAATAACAGCTAACAATCATGTTTTTTTACACAATTTAACAACACAAAACAAATTGGAAATACCTTGGTAGCCTCATTCCCAAGGGTTATTATTATCCATAAATCCCTTAATATTATAATAACCTAAATTAATATTATAATAAAAAGCCTAGTCAAAATTACAGCCACTAATGATGTAGTGTGTGACGTGAATATTTGCAGGGGCATGTTCGCGAGGAACGCAGTCATCAAGGTGGTCCACCTGGACAACAACAAGCTGAAGAAATTGGACACGAACAGCTTCAAGGGCATGAGATTCCTGCGGTGAGTCACACAGTTGTCTGAATCGTTTTTCACTAAACATAGTGTTACACAAGGCGGCAGTGTTTAACTCGGTGGTGGGACTCTTTTTGTGCCTGGCAGCTCGTCTGAGTAGCTACCACCCTCTTTTCTAATTCCACTGCTGTGTTCTGTGTTCTCTCCTGTAGGGTGCAGAGACCTGCTATAACTACAGGCTATCGTAGTCCTCGGAGGAGACAATACATCTGTACTGCGTCACTACCTACTATATGCAGCCTTCCTAATTTATTTATTTTACAAGTACATTATCACAAAACATACACATTTTTTGTGATAATGTCATAATTATGATCTCTATGATATGCATATGAATTACAAGTGCACATAACATTCACATGTTGAGTCATGCAAATTAATTTTAAATACATTTGGAGTAGGACTTAAAAATGGGGATATCAGTAGAACTATAGTAACCGACAAAGCCCAAAGTAAGCAGAATTAGCAATGAGTCGGTCATATATCTCGAAAAACTGAGAACTAATGGAGAAGAAAGGTTCTCGAGTAGCAGCGTTGTACCGGTCAGCGAAGTGTAGTGTGGAGCAAAGACCTGGCAAGAGATGCAGCAAGTCGATGGATGTAGATGACTCAGGAACATGCTTTTAGCAATCCTCGGGGGGAGGGGATGTTCTATGTTCAGCAGTGCACTTGTGAAGGACTGCAATGATGATGGCTATATTGTTGCTGTAGCATGACTAGGGGTCTACCGGCAAAGGGCCACACTCTGACAGAATACTAGCATGAAACAGCAACATAATTCTAGCGTTGGTTCTTGGAGCTGTATTCAGCCCTTTGTCACTTCAGCTTACGGATCCGTTGGGCTACATAAATAATAGCTAGCTGATTATAAGGTTTGTGCGTTGTATGGCAGGCGCCTGTACCTGCAGGACAACCAGATCTCGGACGTGGGCCGCGGCACCTTCTCCGCGGTTACGCGCATCGGCACAGTCGATCTTGCTCGCAACTATATCAAGAAAGTCGACTTCCAGATGTTCCAGACAGTCAAGTACGCAGAGGTAAGAGCGATAGAAAGAGATAGCAAGCAGTCTCTTTCTTTACAAACGCACACAATAAATAATATTCAATGTTAAACACACACAATTGAGGAATATTTTAGTTATACCAGGTTACCAGGCCTGTCTCACTCTGCGCTTTAGTCATGAAAATATACCTAAGCTGCGCTGCCCAATACATGGGTCCAATTCCGTGAGGTTGACACACGCCCACTTTACGTTAACAAAAAATATTTTTCTCTTAAAAGTATTTAGCCTCTTTTGATATTTATTGTTGAGTTTTTATTCAAGTATGGCCTCTCAAAAAGCCAAAAGGTACTGTGAGTAGCATACGGGTGCTTAAATAACAATAGAAATGTAAATTTTCATTCTTTACTGTTCCTAAGGATACCGGAAAGTAATGTATTATTATTTATAGGTAGTTCTAGATAATTAGGTACTTAGTTACTACGGACGCTATAGTTACAGATTTATTATTTGATTAGTGACCCGACTACTTTCGATTCCGACTTTCGATTTATTGCGTATAATGCTAACGACCATAAAAATTCTTTCCGTGTAAGTAGATCTCCCAGTATTAGTGACTGCCTACTAATGCAAGATCAGCATATTATACTGGTTATTAGTTTAACACATTGTCGATAAAAGAAAGAGATTGAAAATAACAGCACTTCTCATTGCCACTCTTTTGGCGTCGGCGGCTTGAAGTATACTTCAAGCCGCCGAAGAAGATTAGTAAATTTTTACCATCCGTCAAGTGTTATTTCCCTCCACAAGATGCAGGAGTATACAAGCTGGATTGTGAATGTGATTTCTCTTACATAGCACAAACAAAAAGATCTATAAAAACCCGCGTGAAAGAACATATAGCTGACTTGAAGCACCAACGTTCAGAGAAGTTTGCAGTGTGTGAACATGTTCAAGATCGTCCCCGCCATTATTACATTAGATTTGATAGACCACAAATCCTCGTAAAAGAACACTGATTCCTACCAAGGATGATTCGCGAGGCTATTGAAATTAAAAAATATCCTAATTTCAATAGAGAAGATGGATGGGTGCTGCCATCTGCTTGGGATCCTATAATTAATAAAATTAAATCCAAACCCAAGCATACCACTGCAAGACTTCAAGATACTATAAGCTCATTCTGCGTAGATCGGACCAAAAATTAATATTCAAAAACTGAAGGTAGCCGGGCTAACTATGACATCGGGACGTCAAACACCTCCCCCCCCCCCCGTGACCATGGGTGCTGTAAAGTACCCGAAACGTCGGGTACTTTACAGCACCCATCAATAAAAAACAAGTTAAATTAAACGCGATAAAATCCGTAAAAATTAGTTTTATTTCATAATGTTTTTATTATCAGCAAATTGATGGCTCCGTGGCGCAGTGGCTTAGCAATGAGTTGCAACACTGGGGCCGCGGGGTTGAATCCCGCACGAAACAAGTATTTATATGGCCTACAAATAATTGGGTCTGGATGTTTGTACTTGTGCAATTTATGTTTGCTAATTGCCTTTACGATACAGGAGAAAATCCTAGTGTGGGGGTAACGTTTTTTTTTTAATAAAAAAGAATACTAATACATTGCATAACACCTCGGTGTATTCTACTATATACAAACTAATATCAAAGGATTCAATTTGTTTTCTCACAACACCTAACCCTACAGTAGGGACGGCCTTAACAAAGGTGCGTAACGTGCTAAGTGATACAGAGACTCGCACGCGCACGTAAGATGCATTTTGATTTAATACGCGCGCCGTATTAATTTTTGTTTCGACGTAGGCTACTTTCATGAAGGTCGCTTCTGGGCGTGCAAAGTTGTAACTAAGTTTAGACTCGCAAGTTCGCAATCAGAGAGTGATCCTTCTGTTCTTGTACTATTGTTTGTTCTGTGGTTATACATAATGTATTGAAAAGGAACTACAACGAGTTTATTAAAATATTCAAACATTACCATAACACCTATGAAATGTCCGCTGCTGAACATAGATTATAGATTACCTCATACGGGGGACATTTGTTGTATTTGCCTCACTTGGCAAGCAGGTTGGCAACCGCAGTTTTTTCATTATTTTGCATTGTTATCGGTTAGATGCTGCTGCCCATCTCCTGTTTCATTACCTTAAAATATCCTCTATCTTAACGCGGGGACACGCAGTATGCGTTAACTAAAAACAATTTTAATGTGTCCAGATAATAAACTTGGCGGAGAACAACATAACGGTGATCGACAAGCAGGCCTTCACGGACCTGTACCAGGCTGTCGTGAACATCTCCCACAACCAGCTGACGAAGATCGAGGCCGGCGCCTTCCAGAACTGCAACAACCTCACCGCGCTGGACCTCAGCCACAACCAGCTGACCAACATCACTCGGTTCGCCTTCGACGAGAACAGTTACGCCTCGCATTTCGACGTCTCTTACAACCGCTTCACGGACTTTAACCAGGTGAGTTTTTATTTCAGTTCTTTCTTGAATTCTTTCTTTCTTGTCTTTAAAAATGTTACACCAACTCTTGAATTTTCTCCTGTATCGTGGAGGCAGTGTTACTGTCTCAACGGAGACTAGTCATCTGTGCAAGTCAAGATTATAGTGCCCGAGTGTATGTGTAAGCACAGGTGTACTCTCTATTCCCTCACTCTCGTAGTTGGATGGGACGGTAATCCGACACGACCGGAGAGAGATCAGGTGCAGAAATAACGGCTTTACGTGATTTCCGACGCATGGGGGTGAACCACTGCCAACTTCCCGACTCTAGGGTTACTACTGAGAATTTCTTGATAGAAAAACCTAATAACTGATTTAGGCCTGACGGGATTCGGACCCGGGACCTCATGATCACCACTAGAGCCAGTCATCAATCAATTAAGCCACGTATTTCGTCAACTACTATGTTCGATGTGTATATTACATTTTTTGCCGTGTCGTTTTGTTTCCTTGATCCCGTGAGTGTTTGTAAGAGGCGACATCTTATTGAAAAGAGCAACTGTAGCTGCCAACCGGCTTGCGTAACATGACAACTATGGTAAACATCCCTCCTATGAAGCAATCTATGAGGGAGGCCTATGTTTGTGCTACAAGTACAGCTGCAGCGTGGCTTTACTCGTATAATTTCTTTACAGATTCCAATACACAACATGACGGGCATCACGGTGCTGAACGCAACCTTCAACAACCTCACGGAGATTCCTAAACTAGCGTTCCCCAAGTTGTACGAGCTGCACACTGTGGACTTGTCCCACAATAATATCTCCGAGATAGGGAATGCGGTGTTCCAGAACCTGTTCTCACTAAGGTAAGTGTTTAATATGTTGACGTTTCGCATAGGATTGGAACAGATCTCAATATTTATCATTTTTTGCATTAATAAGTATTTTACAAACTTAATGTACGTGATGTTTCACATGCTAGAGTCGACTCGACCGGGGAAGGAACAAGGTCTCATAAAACACCAGCGTGAAATAGCAGCTTAATACTGTGTGCTTCGTATGGTGAGTGTAGAAAACCGGAGACCCTTTTCATTGGAAACGAGGCATTCCATCTTAGTCCTCAGGAGTGACGCATCTGCATTTTGATTCTTAATCGAGGATAGATGTAGAAGTCTATGGGCCACAGCATACACTTACCATCAGGTGGACTGTGTGCTCGTTTGTCACCCTTATTTTATAGAATGTTAACTGAGTCTAGTCGTTGTTCTCGTGCGCAGATACCTGAACCTGTCGCACAACTCGCTGGAACGCATCAAGCCTGCATCGTTCGGGTCGGTGCCGACGGTGCTGGATCTGGATCTGTCGCATAACTTGTTGCGTGACATATCGCGCGGCGCGCTCGCCAAGTTGGCCAGTTGCCGGACCATCGACGTCTCGCACAACCAGCTCGACCGGATCTTCCAGATTCCCATTAGTTTGGCGTAAGTTGTGTCTTTATTTGTATTTAAGACGAAGTGTAGGTTGGCCCCCCACTAGATGGAGTGACAACCTGGTAAGACATGCAAGAAGTTGATCAATGCAGGTGCCTCAGGACCGTCTTTGTGGCATTAGTGGACTTGTGAAGGGCAAATAAATAAAAATGAAGTGTCTGTTTGTAATGTCAAAATAACAGCTTTTTACTAAATGCATATGAAAGTGTAATATACGGTATTTATAACAAAAATACAGTTTTTAAAGTTTTTGTCTGTCTGTCTGTCTGTTCCGTCTAATCTCAGAAACGGCTGAACCTATTTCGACGGGACTTTCACTGGCGGATAGCTGATGTTATAAGGAGTAACTTAGGCTACTTTTTTAGGTTCCGCGCAATAAAATTAAAACCCTAAATTACACGCGGGCGAAGTCGCGGGTAACAGCTAGTTTCTAATAAAAGTAGAAGCCTTTACTCTTATTTTCAAAACTGTAATAACGGTATCATTATTTATATATTTGAAGTTAAGTTTAAAATTTGGCTACTCTTTGAAAACTAAACGTTATTCGTGAAAACTCGGAAAATAAATGATTAAAAAGCGTTTGAAAACATTCGTTTACGTTATGTTTTTTATAGAATAAGTGTGAAAAATGAGTACACAGTCCACTTGATGATAAGTAGATACTCTGGCTATTAGACATCTACATCTATCCCCATTTAAGAGCCCTCTTACATTTCGGCGTTACTTAAATGTAGGTAGTTTACGCACCGACCGGGCGGCGAACTACGCGAGCGATACTTTCTTTAATAATTTATTCACTCGCTCGCACTATGATACTGTGACTATGGCGATTAAACGATATTGAACTTCCATAATACAACTTTTCTTAGGATGGAGTTCAGTGGATGGAATATTTTTTGGTGTGTCATTTTAATGTTATCTTATTAATTTATTATATTCTATATTGATATATTTTTCATTATTTATGAAACTTACTGTTAAAATAAGTACACATAAATATTTTAATTGTTACGCAGTAATCGATTGTTAATAATCGATTATGTCTATTAGCGGTGTATATAATAGTGGTATAAATAAATAGTACGGTTGCAACCTGTTTTAATAAATAAAACAACCAATTGTAACTAATATTTTTTTAATCGGTACATACAGTCAATTACAATATTTTTTTATTAGAGAAATATTTGCCGCAACGGCGTTGACCGAGCTTTTCTCGAGTCGATAATTTCACACAGTATACACTTTTCATAAAAAGCTTTTAACTTGGATAACATATTCAAAATCCAAAATTGGTCGTTTTTGTAAATTTTTAGTACTTTTACTGCATAATCTGGGCCATAAGTATGCAGACATTTTTATTTGCTAAATGAAGCTGGCCTTGGATTTGGTAAAACCAGTCATTATTTTGATTTAATGTTACACCTGAATCTGAATTTAAAATATTTTAACTTTTTTTTTGTTCTAACGGCCGTGTCAAAGTCTATTCCGAAAGCTGAAATAGGACATTTAACTTCAATAAGACCGTTACTGTATAAACCATTAGGCGAAGCCCTCAAATAACAATGATCTGGGTCAATGAATAGACCACATATTTCTATAATAATATTTTCTTGTTTGCTCAATTGTGCCAATACTACAAACTCGTTGTCTCTACCATGTTTGATGGAAGAGACGTAATCTAAATTATAACTATATAAAATAGTTTTAAACCGATCGATCAAAAACTGCGGTCGTAGTCTACGATGGTCTAGCACGCACACAATTGCAGCGCGCCTATACGGCAATCGACGCACACTACGGTAGTATCGAAGCGACGCAGCGCGCGTGATCAACTGACTCAGGTCCAACCTCGACAAGCGCTTGTGCGATAGTGATCGCAGGTGACCGGCGCAGTGAAATATGGTACTTTTATTTAATTAATTAAAAAAGAATAGTAACGATTTAAAAAGTAAAAATAATAGTATAGTTTAAGCAAATGTTGATGATTATTTTAGTATAAATTTTAGGGCAAAATGATGTAGAACTTCGGAAATATTGAGGCTTGTATCAAAGCTTTCTCGGTCGTTAATTGAATTATGTCGATTTTTTTTCCTAGGGTAAAAGGCATATAACGAAAATGTATTCTATTATTATGAAAGTATAGGATATTTGGGAGATAAAAATATTTTTTTTCAAGGTCTATATTCAAGAGAATCTACAAATTAGAGCTCCCAAATTATGTCTTCTAGAGTTTTTGCCTAAAAATGCATCGGGAGAATGATTATTACTAAATAAGTAAATAAAGTTATCTAAAATTCGCTTTGAGCTTATTGTAGTAGAGAAAACGAATTATTTTCATCAAGTAATTGTTATTTCAAAGAACGAACGATAAGCATAAAATTTCAACGAGGAAATCTTGTAATTTCGCGTTTTTTTGTAATACTCCTCTTAAGATTGTCTCGTTTGTAGTAAAAAGGGTCTCCGCTTCTCTACGCTCACGATATGAAACACACCAACATTAAGCTGCTATTTCACGTCGGTATTCTGTTACAGCGTAGTCCTACCCCGGTTGAGCTGACCCATTCGCGCTACAACCATAAAATACCTGCTGCATGCTTCTAAAAATTTGACTTTTACTTTTGATAAGTTTAGTTTAATAAGGCTTAGTTAAGTAAGCTGATGAGGATAATCTTTTGCGGCAAACCAAAAGATTTTTCTTTTTTTTTATGAATATGTCCATAAACTTTCAGTTTGTGCCATAGATTAATATTAACATTGACTTAGCATCGCAAAGTCATAGAGTATGAGAACGTAGCATAGAGTAAGTTAGCTAGTTTAATGTACACGATATTTATTACATATTATAACTAGGCATTAGAATTAATAGTTTAAAATTAATGTTAATTTTGATTAAGTCCTTAGTGATTGTAAGCTTTAATAATAGGTACTAAATTATGTCCAGCGATTGCTCGCGAGTCGACATAATATGTGACTCTCTGTCTAACTCTGTTACTGTAGCATTATGCTGAGTTTGCGGCCCTTTGTTGCTGCAATCTATTTTCTTTTAATTTTTAGATAAGTATTTTTTTTGTTTGTAAGATTGATATTCTGCAGGTTGCAGCAATAAATAAATATGCTCTTTCTTTCTTTTTTCTTGCAGCGAGCTGAAGTTCTCGCATAACCTTGTGTCGGAGGTTCGCAGCAACACGTGGCCCAGCATGAACGCGCTGCTGCGTCTGGACCTGGCGTACAACTCGCTGGCCGACTCCCTGCAGGCGGACTCGTTCAGCTCGCTGCTGACGCTGCAGCAGTTGCAGCTTTCCGCCAACGGACTCACTAAACCCCCGTGGGAAGCCCTCAACACGCTTACCAGCCTGCAGTATTTGCATCTGCAGGTGAGTGGTTCTTGATGATGGACGAGAAACGAGACTTGTTCAGCACGCTGCTGACTTTGCAGCAGTTGCAGCTAGTTGGCAACGAGCTCACCACACCCCCTTGGGAAGTCCTAAACGCGCTATCCAGCCTGCACTACCTGCATCTACAGGTGAGTATTTTTTGGAGAGGGACGAGTGCCGTTGTACTTTTGCCAGTGTCATCATCATCAACATCATCACAGATCTTTACAAGACTGCTCAACATATGCCTTCCCCAAGGATGTCATAGAACACGGATCTGAGTTATTCTATTTAATGGAGGACCAATGTCAAGTAATAAGAAATTATCCTTTATAATGATATGTTTGTAATCAGTAGGCTATCTCCTACATTTATAACATCTTCTTTAGCATCGTATCGTATTTAGCATCGTACTATTATGTTTATTTACTAGCTGTTCCCCGCAACTTCGCCCGCGTGTAATTTAGGGTTTTCATTATGTTGCGCGGAACCCTAATTATTTTTCTAAAATATTAGTAGCCTAAGTTACTTTTTTTATAGGAGAGGGGGCAAACTAGCATCCGGCTCACCTTATGGTAAGTGATTACCGCCGCCCATGAACAACTGCAACACCAGGGGAATTGCAGATGCGTTGCCGGCCTTTTAAAAAGGAGTACGCTCTTTTCTTGAAGGTCCCTAAGTCGTATCGGTCCGGAAAAATCGCTGGTGGAAATCGATTCCACAAGGAAGTTGTGCGAGGGAGAAAACTTCTTCTAAATCGCACAGTGGTGGACCGCCAATCATCCAGATAGTATGGATGGTATCGCGAGTTTTGTCGCGATGTGCGATGGTGAAATTGAGCGGCTGGAATTAGTCCGAACAATTCCTCAGAGTACTCCCCGTGATAGATGCGATAAAATACGCAAAGAGATGCAACATCTCTACGCAGTGCCAGTGAGTCAAGCCGATCGGTAAGAACTCGGTCGTCGACGATTCGAACCTCTCTGCGCTGGATGCGGTCAAGTAGAAGGAGCTGGCACTGGGGAGCCCCTGCCCAGTGATGGGAACAGTATTCCATGTGAGGCCGAACCTGCGCCTTGAAAAGTTGCAATCGGTGTGCTGGCATGAAATGTGTGCTGTCCCGCTCTGCTGAGTACGCCAAGCTTTTTAGAGGCCAATATACATACTCCTTGTAACTTCAGCTATCTGCCAGTGAAAGTCCTGTTGAAATCGGTCCAGCCATTTCGGAGATTAGCCGGAACAAACAAACAGACAGACAAAAATTTAAAAAATTGTATTTTGTTATAAGTACCGTATATACTTTCATATGAATTTAGTAAAAAGCTGTTATTTTGACATTACAAACAGACACTTCAATTTTATTTATTTGTATAGATTAATTTTGAACAATATTCATTTTATGTCTATTTTTTTTTTTATAGGATGGGGTGACAAACGAGCACACAGTCCACCTGATGGTAAGTGGTTACTGTGACCCATAGACATCTACATCTATCCTCAATAAAGACTCAAGATGCAGATGCGTTGTCACCCGTGAGTACTAAGATGGAATGCCTCTTTGCCAATAAAAAGGGTCTCCGGTTCTCTACACTCACCATACGAAACACAGCAGCGTGAAGCTGCTATTTCACGCTGGTTTTCTGTGAGAGCGTGGTCCTACCCCGGTCGAGCCGACCCATTCGTGCTACAACTATAATATAGCTGCAGCATGGCTCTACCACGTAGTAAATAAATAAAAAGTCTATAATATTTATGTAAAATATTATGTATATGTGTGTGAGTAAGTTCTTATTTCACCTACGCAATCCACATGTTTAAATATGTTAATGCGTCACATTGCGAAGTTTTTGGGAAATTCTGACAACAGTTTGAGCCAGCAAACAGTCAGTTATAACAAACTAACTTGAAGTTCTCTCGAGCAGCATTTCACTTAAATAAAGTGGTGCTTTGTAAAAACTATTTCAACAATTTTGAACAAAAATATTTTACTTTCACTTTGACTATTGGAGCACTTCTTCATCGTTCTCACTAATATTTCTCATTGAATTCACTTAACGTATGCAATCTTATCACTTTCACAAAATCCACTTTAAACTTATAACTAACCAGCAGTCAAGTTCTCACCAAAACTCCGAAAATGTATTAAAACTAAAAGAAAGAATAACTCTTTGAGGATTCTTTTATAAAAAGGAGTTAACAAAAATACAATTTTCTTCAATTACAAAAAAATATCGATTCTTTATCTGTCAATCTCTGTTTGTTCTTTACGAATTAAATTAACAGTTTTGTGATTTTTTACTTAAATATCGAAAAATTTTGGTATTTTACCTACTGTTAGGGCTTTGACGGGTATCACGTGACGCTCAAAACGTTTGTTGACGGGTATCACGTGACGCTCAAAACGTTTGCCAAAGCCAAAAATTTCTGTGTCTATGGCGAATACCCCCTCTATAAGGTAATTTATAGAGGGGCCTATGTTCACCAGTGGATTTTGATAGGCTGTATTAAATTAATGATAAATATGTAATTTAATTTGGCAGTATAACAACATCACTTCCCTGTCGAAGTCCGCATTCGGGAACCTGCCCACTACGTTCATGGTGGACCTGTCGTACAACCAGCTGAGCAGCATCGCGCCGCGCAGCTTCCAGGGCCTCCAGCAGCTGCTGCAGCTCTCGCTCAGCCATAACCAGCTCGCCCACATCCCCAACGAAGCGTTCAAGGGACTGGTCGCTTTGAGGTACGCTGTTCACTCCATCCAATAAACATTATTTTATTAAAGGTTATTTTTTAACAAGTATTTTTTTTTTCAAATAACTTTGAAGTATTTTCTCGTATCGTTTGTGATGTAATAAATTACGTTTTTGAGCTCTTCGAGCTTCGAGTCATAATAGGTGGCATTTGGAACGCTTCGCATTTGAAATTAGCGGGAAGTTCCAAAGAAGGCCTGTAGGGTGAACTGTATTTTTTTATTGACAATATCTTGCAGGGAGCTGGATCTATCTCACAACAACCTGGAGAAGATTGACAACAAGACTAACGGCTTACTAGACGACTGCCTCTCCTTGGAGAAGGTAAGCTATATAATATATATTTTATTATCTCTTAAAATGAACTTGTATACGAGCTCATACATAGAGACAATCACACCGCACCCAACTGCCTAACAAAACTGTTGTTAAATGTATGAATACATATTAAATGTTTTTATTTATACTTATTAAATGTAAAGCCTGTTGAAGTCAGCCACAACATGTTTTATAAGTAGAGTAGTTACTGTAAAATGTTAATAAACTGCCAAGTGCGAGTCGGACTCGTGCATGAAGGGTACCGTACCATCGTAATATGTACATGTTTCTAGCAGAAGAGCCCCTTTTAATTTTTAATTTAAATGTTATTTTATTTAATGTTTATTCTGTGAATTTTAACTGTCTTCCTATTTACGGATCATGAGATATAGCCCGTTGAATGACAGACGGACGGACGGATGCACGGACAGCGGTGGCTTGGTAGCAGCCCTAAAGAAGTAGCTTGATTTATTCGATAAATTACAAAATGCCAAAAACATAACCTAAAATACTGCTATGTTTCGTATGGTGAGTGTAGAGAACCGGAGACCTCTTTTTACTAGAAACGAGGCATTCTACGTTAGTCCTCAGGGATGACAACCCATCTGCATTTAGATTCTTAATTGAGGATAGATGTAGATGTCTATGGGCTCCAGCATCCACTTACCACGAGGTAGACTGTGTGCTAGTTTGTCACGCTTATTATATTAAAAAAAAACCTTTAAACTCACACTAGGAACGACACACAACCGGTCATCATACGCCACGTGTTTCGCCTTTAAATGGGGCATCATTAGGAATAATAGACTGCGATGGCTAATCACACAATCGCTTTGCATTTGCATGCCATTACATATTTTATATACATTTGCTTTTATTTCGCTATATTGTTATAAGTCTTCCGTACATTTGCCGTTTAAAAAAATCCACTGCAACATATCGCAGTTTAAAGAGCTTACAGTTGGGAAACTAATGCACTTGAGCAGAGTAACGGTGAATGTACTATAATGAAAAATAACTGTTGTAGTTATATTTTTTTTTATAGGATCGGGTGACAAACGATCACACAGTCCACCTGATGGTGAGTGGTTACTGTGACCCATAGACATCTACATCTATCCTCAATAAAGACTCAAGATGTAGATGCGTTGTCACCCGTGAGGACTAAGATGGAATGCCTCTTTGCAAGTAAAAAGGGTCTCCGGTTCTCTACACTCACCATACGAAACACAGCAGCAGTAAGCTGCTATTTTACGCTGGTATTCTGTGAGAGCGTGGTCCTTCCCCGGTCGAGCCGACCCATTCGTGCTATAACTATACCAGTAATATAGCTGCTGCATGGCTCTACCACGTAGAGTATATGAGTTAGTAAGTAAAATTGAATTCAAATGACGGTTATGCTTATGTTTCCAACCATTTTTTTTTTTGATTAATTTGCTTATCCGAATGCGAATACATTACATAATTAAATTTAATAATCGAAAATTGAAAACATCTATATAAAGAAAGTGTCACGTAAATATTTGGCGGTGCAACACTTGTAAATGTGTTTTTTCTTTTTTTATAGGAGCAAACGAGCATGCGGCTCACCTGATGGTAAGTGACTACCGCCGCCCATGAACAACTTCAACACCAGGGGAATTGCAGATGCGTTGCCGGCCTTTTAAAAAGGAGTAGGCTCTTTTCTTGAAAGTCCCTAAGTCGTATCGGTCCGGATAAAGTGTGTACTTAGTAATATTAAGTACACACTTTTAATAATATTCTTGTACTTAATAATAAAAATGATCTCGTTCGATAAATGTTTTTAACTTACAAGTATGTACATGATGTTAGTAAATGATAATGAGTATTACAACATGCAAAATTATTTTATTTCCATTTTCGTGACAAACCCTGGCATACACGCAGGCCGCGTAAATACGCGGCGGTATCGTCTAACATCAAAGGCGTTTTACACCTGTAAAGTCTAAACTGTACACATCTTTTTCCTGTGCGTGGGTGGATATCCTTACACCGCCATTACGCGGTAACACTTGTTTGTACCTTAGGCTTGTGATATTTGTTATTCCACTTAAAAGAAAAAGTGCATTTCAAAGAAAACAATAAAATAATTTCCACATACTAGCTTCTGAGTTCGATGCTTTAATTCTTCTACGCTCTGTCTTACACTACTCGTAATTTCTCAAACTTTTGTTTGAAAATCATTTTATACTTTTGAGTTCTTTGAAATCGACTTCAAATTTTGTTCAAATCGGAAGCAAAATCTTGAACGTTGAATGTGTTTTTTATCTTTAAGGTAAACTTGAGCTACAACAGGTTCGGCTTCCTGTCCAAGAAGATGTTCCCGTACAATCCCTGGATACCCTACAGACTGATGGAGGTGGATCTGAGCCACAACGAAATCCCTGTCGTCACGTTCGACATCACCTTCGGTACCAAGAAGCTCAAGAAGCTCAACTTGTCCGGGAACATCATTAACGACGTGAGGAATAGTAAGTTCTATCGGTATCCCAGTGATGATTTCTTAAATATACGCGAATACTATACTACAATAAAACTAATTTTATGGATTTTATCGCGTTTAAATTTAACTTTTATAATTCCCGACGTTTCGGGCGCTTTGCCAGCATTCATGGTCACAGTAAGAATTTGAAGAGTTCTTTTTTTTTATAAAATCAGGGTGACAAACGAACACACAGTCCATTTAGGATGCTGTGGCCCATAGACATCTAGATCTACTCTCAGTTAAGAATCAAAATGGAAATGGACGGCTCCATAGCGCAGTGGCTTAGCAATGAGTTGCCGCGCTAAGGGCCGGGGGTTCGAATCCCGCACGGAACAAGTATTTGTATGGCCTACAAATAATTGTTCCGGGTCTGGATGTTTGTCCTTGTGCAATTTGTGTTTGTAAACTGCCTCCACAATACAGGAGAAAATCATAGTGTGGGGGTAACGTATTTAAAAAAAAAATTAAAAAAAAGCAGTCACCCCTAAGGACTAAGATGGAATGCCTCGTCTGCAGTGGAAAGAGGTCTCCGGTTCTTTGCACTCACCATACGAAACACAGAAGCATTTAGTTGCTATCCTTATGGTATTCTCTGTGAGCGTGGGCCGTCGCCTGTCGAGTCGACTTATTTGTGCTACGACTATAATATAGCTGCAACATGGCTCTACTACGTAAAAAATATTTGGTCCGATCTACGCAGAATGAGCTTACAGTATCTTGCCAACTTGACAAGCTGAAACATGCCATGTTTGGGTTTGAATTTAATTTTATTAATTACGGGATCCCAATGATTATAAATAATGTTTAAAGTATGGAAATTATGTAATTATGATAAAAAATTTGTATCACAAAATAAACTCGAACTATTAAAAATTAAGTACCTATATTTATTTTTTGAACATAAGAAAATAAAATTTCGTTTTTCAAATGTAATTGCATGCCCTAAGCACAAAGCCCCCGTAGGTATGTTCTACTAGCGCCTAAAATTCAAGATTCCAACGTTTTGTCGCATGAAATCGTATCTAACAATCACATTGAACATATCTATACTATCTATACTGATTATATTAATATAATAAAGCGGAAGAGTTTTTTTGTTTGTTTAAACGCGCTAATCTCTGGAACTACCAGTCCAATTTGAAAAATTCTTTTTGTATATTATAGCCAGATTCATTTGGAATAGTACAGGATATCTAGCATTAAGCTATATCACTCAGCTAGCCTTAAATATGGATATTTGTTAAGCAAGTCAGAAGAAAAAGTACTCCCGAAATGATTTATCCGCGTACGCTGCTGTTATCGTTAGGGATACGTAAATACAATGTTCTAGAAAAATATGGATCTTTACTCCGTCTAAAAAAAGTCCGCGATACCATGTCTATTTCTTATACATAATCCATAATTTGGTATTTTGTGACAAAATAAATATTGAAAATTTAAAAGTGATTTATGAGCGTTATTATTAGGCATGGCCTATTTATCCTTACGAACGAAAGTTACTTCATCATCAAGACAATTTTATGAAGATAAACTTTGTTCTTTTATACCATGTTATTTGGACGCATAATTTAAGAGATAATGTAAAATTAAAATAATTCAATACTTGGCTGGGCGCGCGAACGACGCATAAACCCTAGCCTGAGAGAGAACTGCGAGAAGCCAGTATAGAAAGCTTCTAAGAGCGAGGTTAGTTCAATCTTTATAGCTAAAATAAATTGAAAATTAATTGAGTACTTTTATGACAATGATTAGTTACATCTTTATTTCTCAACTCTTTCATTTCACGTTGCTATGGTATTTTGAAAATTTTTCTTGATTAATAAGTATAAGAGTTTGATAGCTCAAGAATCATTTCATGCCTACACACTTCATGTATCGTGTACGGTTTTCTTTAAAACTGGAAAAAACCGCGCTTAGGGACACTTTCTGGGACGTGGGGTGGGGAACGGGGGAGCATACATAATATGCCGACAGATAAAAGTACTCCATTAATTATGCCAATTTTTCCATCCATTGCTATCAAATAAAATATTTAATTGCAATTATAAAATGCTTGAACTAGGTCATGTCGCGCACCACCGACACGTGATGACGCGGGTGAAACCGCGGGGCACAGCTAATTTAATGATATAAAAAGCACATTGTCAGAAAGATAAATGATTGTTGAACTTATTAATTTTTTAAAATTGATTAATTGCTATTTTTATATATAAAAAAAATGGTTTTAGTGGCTTATGGTGTGAATTTATCAAGTCCGCATGAAGTGGTAAATACGATAACTTTTGAAAATATCAATTGTTCAATTCAATCTATTTTTTAATCTCTTCATCTATCATGTGGGAAGCCATGGAATGTAAAAGACAGTTTAATTTTGTTTTGTTTAGTTATAATTATTTTTTTCGGCTGAGAAATCCCGACATTTTCGGTGCTCCCGACACTTTGCCTCACTGGCTCACTCCGGGGTCCGGGCTCGGGCGCCGCGCCGTCGTGAGTGGATTACTGTATCGTTTGTTTACAGCGGCTCGCGCTGAATAATACCGATCGCCATAGAAATACAAAATATGCCAAAAACCAAATTTGATACATAATTGACCAGGTTATTATTTTTATAATCATAGTTTTTTATTTCAATATTTTGTTTCGCTAAAAGTACGTAAGATTTATATATAAATATACTTAAACGTCTTGGAATTTATGGAGTGACCTGAAGGTGTACTTCGGTATCTGCTACTGGAACTCCTCGACGAGAGAAGTAAAAGTGCCAAGTTTAACCTCGTTTTGTTAGTTACGATGAGACATTACCTCCGGACTTGATGGAGTAACTTGAAGTTGTACTTCGGTGAATGCTACTTGTACTCCTTAAAGGGTAGAACTAGGTGTGCCGAGTTTGCCTCGTTTTATTTCTTTCTTTTTTTTTAAAGCTACTAACCTCATATTTCAATTGTACATTTTATATTTATTCAAATTCAAATTCAAATTCAAATTAATTCAAATTAATTTTATTTGCCAGAATGTAGGTGTACAATAAAGTATGATCTTAAATTATATCTAATGGCCCATTTACATTCTACCACTACATATGGTGTGCAAACATTTTATAGGTATACATGCAAAAAATTATTTAAACAGAAATTAGAAATTATTAAAAACAAATTGATTATCTGAAGTCAAAATTATCATGTCAATTCAAACGATAAATCTTAAAATGTCAGATTATTTAGTAAGGTATACATTTATAATTATTAAAAACAAATTAATTAATTGCAGTCATAATTATAATGTCAATTTAAATGAAAATTTTTAAAATGTTAGATCATGTAATAAACGTACTAGTTAGTTACCTATATATGTATCAATATTACTGATGTCAGATTTATTTTTCGCAATAAGATATAAATTCCTTGAAGTCGTAAAAACATTTTTCCTTTAACCATTGTGTCAACTTTTTTTTAAACATGGTTAAAGGTAATTCTTTAAATGAGTTGGGCAATTTGTTATATACCTTTATAGCATTAACATAAGAATTCCTTTTATGCAATTCTAGTCTGCATTGAGGTAAATAGAGCTTATGTTTATTTCTAGGAGCTACATTTCGTTTACTTACATCTATATGCTTTTCAAAGTGTTCCGGATGTTGTTTTACAAATAGGCATACTTCTTTAATGTACAAGCATGGTAATGTCAAGATATTGTACTTTTTAAACAAAGGCTTACAGCTATCCGTACACCAGGCTCCATAGATTGCACGCACACATTTCTTTTGTACTCTAAACACTTTTTTTATATCCACCGAGTTGCCCCACAATAAAATACCATATGAGAGTACGGACGAAACATAACCGTGATATGCACATAGAGCAGCTTCAGTTGATACCGTGTATTACATCTTTCTATCAGTGACCTATGGTTTTAATTATTACAATTGTTCACCTAACGCAAAAACACCAGTGGATCTACTGTTCCTTGGTGACAAAAATAGGTTTGACAGTGGTACCAACTTGGACTCTGGCAGAAAACAGGTACACTCTACATAGAGGGAGCTTAAATATTTTTTTGAAAACGGAAATGACTAACGGACTTACAGTCCACCTGATTGTGAATGGCTACTGCAGTCCCTGGACACCTGCAGCCGACTTCGAACGAAGAGGGCTACAGATGCGTTGTCACTCCTGAGGACTAAGATGGAATATCTCACAGATACAGACTCTCTATACGCTCCAGGCCGGAACACAGAAGTGCAGGCACTGCTATTTGGCACTAGAAATAGATAAAAGCTACCATCTAACCTCTCCCTCCTCTCACACTACCAAGTTTCTACCCAGAGAGACGGCTAAACGGAACAAGAGTCCAATCGACTAGTAAATTTTATTATATTTCAGATGTGCTGGGCAACTTGACATCACTGGAAGTAATCGATCTTTCCAACAACCAGCTGAAGGATTTAGTCTCTCGCACATGTGAGTTTTATTTTAAATTATACATATATTTACTAGACATATATTTTTCCAAATTACACATTAAACTCATACACAATACAAAATCTTATACACACTCACTTAGGCATCATCTTAAAAACCATTACACATTTAGATTTTTGGGTATTATTTACAAATCTCTTACGAAAACAAATGAATTAAAAATTACGCCAAAATGCCATATAGATAATGTCATTACTACCTTCTGTAGCTACGACGATTCAATTATTATTGCAAACAATCATGGATAGCTTTATGAAAACAATTGAAGATTTGGACGAAACTGAAATCGCTAAATCTATAGTGTGTAATATAGAGGACTTACCTAAAGTAATGCCGCCTATACCTAATTCCAATTTTACAATACTAACCCAAAATATTAGGAGTATATATCACAACATTAATGATTTACTGATTAATATGTCGCAATTGCCATTTGAAACTGATTTCATAATATTGACAGAATGCAGGTTAACCAACATATAAAATTAATCGTCAGCTAAATCAGAATGACGGGGTTGTAGCATATATTAAAAAAGACTTAAAGGTGCAAAAAGTATCCGAACTAAAGCTAACACATGAATCAGCTTTAGAAATCGTTACTTCTGACTTCATTATATTGGATATGTATAGATCGCCGTCAGTCACAAACGCTGATTTGTTTATTGATTCCATAAATGCGCACTTGAAAACTATGGCCTCACATAAGAATATTGTTTTAACTGGCGACATTAATCTTAATTAATAGTCTAATTACTAAGCCGACAGAGCTAGCGTATCAACACAGTAACAGGCAGAAGTACCTAGACATTTTATCTTCACATGGACTCTTGTCCGGTCATTGCTTACCCACTTGACACGACAACTGCCTTGATAATGTGTTCCTAAAATTAGATAAACATACGAACTCAGCACTTGTAGCAGTACTTAATACATCAATTACTGACCATGCTATGGTTTTATTCAGCAAAAATAAATCCTACAAGCTAATTAATAAGTTTCCTAAGACTGAATGTACTATCGATTACAAGTCAGCCCATTTAACACTTGTAAACACAGATATCTCTCATTTTAAGACTTGTTATGACTCAAACATTTTGGCTGACATCTTAATTGATACAATAAAAACAGCAATTGATACAAATACTAAAGTAAAACTGGTTAAAAATAGAAAAAGGATTTTAAAACCGTGGATTACCACAGGTGCTTTGCGGTGTATTAGGCTTAGGAATAGCATGCAACTAAAAGCGAAACAGGAACCCGCAAATGAAGTTTTAAAAATAACTTTTAAACGTTTTAAAAACTTTTGCACAAATTTAATTAGGAAATTAAAAAGACAGTATTATAAAAATGAAATAGAATTATCTTGTAAAAATCCCAAATTACTATGGTCCAAAATTAATGAAATAACCCAATTCAAAAGCACTAAAACTTCTAATGTTAGTCTCCTCGACCTGCCAGCAGACCCTCTTGAGTCAGTAAATATAGTTAATAAATTTTTCGTCAACATTGGTAAATCTCTGGCTGAAGATATAACTAATAATCCATTATTACAACATGAGAATTCCCCTGAGATTAAATCAAGTCTATACTCATTTGTTTTATTGGACTCTGACCCACACGAAGTTTCTGATATACTCATGAGTCTTGATTCTAGAAGTGGATGGTATACCAACATTGTTTCTGCAAAGGTGTAAAGATTTTGTGGCTCCACTAATTAGCCAACTAGCCAACCCGTGTTTTAAAACAGGGAAATGATTGCTAAACTAGATTTTAATTCACTGGAACCTATTGTTTACAATAGCCCAAATATTTCTCTTAGGCATGTAGTTAAAGACCCTGGGTTAACGATCGATGATAATTTAAGTTGGCAATCTAAGGTGGCTGAAATAAGGCGGAGAGTGACAATCACCCTGCGTGGCCTTTATCGTTTCAAGAATTTCCTTTCAACCGAGACTAAGGCTATGTTGGTGCGAACACTTATTTTACCGGTCATTGATTATGTTGATGTGTGTCACTCTGAAGTGAGTCAAGTAGTTCTGTGCAAAAGGGGTCGTTTGCTCAATAATTGCATCCGTTTTATTTTTGACCTTCGTAAATACGACCATGTATCCTTATATCGTTCTAAGCTTAAATGGCTCCCTATCCATCAGCGTAGATGCATCAGAATGTTCTTCACACGCTATTTTCAATTCTTTATGATCCATGCACTCCCCAATACCTAAAATACAAGTTTCAGTATTTAGGTTCTTGTTACGATCGTAACCTGCGATCCTCCGAGGGATGTGTGTGATCTTATGTGTTTTTCCTCGCCGTACCAAATGTATGTCTTTGTCCTTCGCTGCTGAGGCCTTAAGCTTTTGGAATGAATTACCTCCACGCATTAGGAAACTCACTTCTGTTGTTTCATTATTTATGTGCGCACTTTGTCAACTCGATTTGAAGTTTATTTCTGAGAAGAAAGTAACTTTATTTCTGACGTAAATAAAAATACAATTGCGTGGCGTATTTACGTTCCAGCTACCCGGCCCGGACCCGCAGCTCCACAGTTGTGACCCAGAACTGTTAGCTAGTTTTTGTTTGTACTGAATTGCCGGTTTATTAGTATACGTCTAGAAGAAGTCTTTGTTAGAAATATAAATAAATATATAATATTCGCAGCCGAGACGAAGTTCAACTTGCCGGAGAATATCACCCACATGTACCTACAAAACAACCAGCTGGAGAAGCTGCCCATGGACAGCTTGGTCAAGGCTCACAGGTTGCGAGTGCTGGACGTAAGGAGCAATGTGCTCACCAGCTTCCCGCCGGAGCTGGTGCGCAAGGTCAGGGAACAGGGGCTGCAGGTGTACTTTGATGGTGAGTGTTGGATTATTTTATAATATTTACACAGTGGCTTAAAATAATAAGTGACAATTTATTTTGTAGGCATAGCATATTGGGCCTATCGCCCTTGATTTGTTATAACGTTACTTATCTACATCATGTGAATAAATGTTAATTAATAAATATCTTGAGGCTAAACTAAACTAATAAACGTATTTGAGTAAGTTTCTTTAAAAACGCTGTATTGAGTTTGTCAAGTCGCACGCTTGGAACAGAGGTTCTTATAACAAATTATTTGATGTTGTTTTTTTTATATGATATGACAGGTGATGTTTATTTATTTATTTATTTATTGCATTTACATGTGGCTGTAATGTGTCACACATTACAGCACATACACCCAGCAAGGGTATAACAATATCAAATAAAGCTAGCTTTAATTTACGTATAAAGTAAAGTAAAAGTGTAACTTGAATACGTCGTATTAATAGACAGGGCTCCTCCTATTCCTAAGTGTTTTGGAGCGATTAGTCTGCCGCGATGTTCTAGTGCGTTTATGTGTTTGTTTTTTTTGTCTTGGAAATATTTCTTATACATGCAGGCTTTTTGATGAAATTTTCCTTTACCGTCGAGGATGTGGTAAATGAGCGCTTAAAATTGCAATTAATCATTTCATTTTGTTGGTACTGGTGGAGATCGGCTTGTTAATATTGTAAATTAATATTTTTATCAAGTAATTACTGACCGTTTACAATCAACAAACTACTGCTACGTTTACACGTCTGCGAACTAACATGGAATGCTTTCTGTCGATTGCCTGATATCTGTAATAATACTGGATCTCTACATATTTTAAAGAGCACAGCGGTGCAAGCATTATTGCTTAGTAGCAGAAGTAGATAATAAGGTGGTACCTTCAACATCATCATTGCAGCTCTTTACAGATCCACTGCTGAACTTAGCCCCTCCCCCTCCCCTCTCCATGGAATGCCACAAAGCACGGTCCCGAGCCACCTGTATCCATTTCCAGCATGTCTTACCAGATAGTGACTCCATCTAGTGGGGGACGCCCTACACTTCGCCTGCCGGTACAAGTCTGCCACACGAGAATCTTTCTTCGAGTGGTACCTACACAGACGGAGTCCTAGACAAAAAAGAGTTCTATACCAGTTTAGCAGAGTGTGGAGTACATTTGTTGCAGACAACCGTCTGAATTGCGACTGCCTGGTGCGGCCGCTGAAGCACCACCTGAACCGTCTGCCGCGGCTGCAACAGCTGCAACAGCTGCAGGCGCTGCGCTGCGCGGAGCCGCCCGCTCTGCAGCTGCAGGCGCTGCTGCAGCTGGACGAGGAGCGCCTGCAGTGCGCCGCGCCGCCCCACCAGCCGCAGCTCGCCGACACGCTCTACAGCCTGGATGCCGAGCCGGATGTCGTATTCAGGGATATACAGTAGTGAGTTGTCCATGCTAATAATAATAACGTGATGCTTTGATATCCTCCATGCTCTAATAGTCCAAAATCCTATTGCTAATCATGAGGTCCCGGGCCAAACATCAGTTTTTAAGCTTTTCTGTCAAAAAACTTCTAATAACAGCCGAAGTTAGGAAGTTGGTGGTGTTACAACACCGTGCCTCGGTAAACCACGTCAAGCATTTGTTCCTGCGCCGGATTTCTCTCCCGACGTGTCGACTTGCCGTCCTATCAGACTATGGGAGTGAAGGAATACAGAGTGCAGCTGTGCTTGTACATACTCTCGGGCACTATAATCCTGTCCTGGACAGATGGAGAGTTGAGACTGGGCGCCGTGGTTGAAATTCAGTCTGGAGGACATTATTATTATCAATAATGTGCTCCAGCAGCCCTTCTTCACACATGAATAATAATACTCCCCATAACCCTTGGCCATTTGGTACTCCTTGCCTAGGCCATCCATATGGTAGGGTATTTATTTTTTTAGTTGTTGCCCATATCCTGTTTTGTTTGGTACCATCAGGTAGACTGTGTGCTCGTTTGTCATCCTAATTCAATAAAAAAAAGCGGATTCCGTATTACTAAAGAAAATAAAATAACTACATATTATAATGTCGACACTTTAATTCTTCTATGCATTATATATCTTAGCACCTTCAGTATATAAACTTTGATGAAAAATTTAATATTGTTGCAAAAAATAACATATTAAAAGTGGTTAGTAAAGACAGACTGACACTCAAGCACATATTTTTTTTGTTTTAACTAAATTAAAGACTTTTATAAAAGAAAAACTTATTTGCAGCTCGCAGAGCTCTATCTACATCCACTGGTTCGTGTCTACCAACGAGGACGTGGCAGACTTCTTCGTTTTCATACGAGACGACAAGAACACAATGTACTTCAGTTCGGACGTCGCTTACCAGCTGCGTTCGCTCACAGTCCCCGTCGACGACAATTTCCGCGTCGCATTGCAAAAGGGCGGCCATTTTGACGTTTGCATCCAAGCCAAGATGTCCGCGAACTTCGCGCGCAAATGGTTTGATAGCCAGTGTCAAACAGTTCCCGCCAACTTCGCGTCGTGGCCCAAGAAGCTCACAGTGGACAAAAGAAGACTGTCATCAAAGAAGAGGGTTTCTTACAGCTGGTTCTCCAATAACACCCTGGGTTTGGTCAGCGACTCCATTCTGATTACTCTGTGCATATTCCTCGGCGTTTGTTTCAGGCGGTTGTCCGATTTAGATATTTGACAGCACAAACAAATTCGTAATTTATTTATTTATGACCGTAAGGTTTACTTTCGTTTGTCTCTGTCAAAGTATTTGACAGTTATCAAACAGTATGCTATTGTTCTATGATTTATTTAAAAATGACAACAAAATGAAACTAACCACAAAACCAAGGCCCATATTAAAGAAAAAAACAAACAAAATCAAATTATTCTTGAAGAGAGTTTATTTTCTGTACTTAATTAGTTCTTTAATGTCAATGGTATTTATTTATTCGATATGCAATTATTATTATCACATGCGTGGTAGAGCCACGTTGCACCTATATTATGATTGTAGCACGAAAGGGTCAGCTCGATCTGGGTGGGACCACGCTCTCACCAGCCAGCTTAATGCTGCTGTGTTTCGTATGGTGGGTGTAGAGGACTGGAGATCCTTTACTGGTTACGAGGCATTCCATATTAGTCCTCAAGAGTGACAATGCAACTGTATTTTGATTCTTAACCGAGGATAGACGCAGATGTCTATAGGCCACAGCATCCACTCACAATCAGGTGGACTGTGTGCTCGTTTGTCACGGTTATTTTATAAAATAATTATGATAGAAATTTGACACAAAAAATTAAAATTATTTTTGTCACAGTGTAATCTTTAATCTATGAAGCAATTTTGAAAACGGCAATACTTATCCGTGAAGAAAGCAAACATACAAAAGTATAACAACATTTATTTTGTAAAAAATTATTGTGCAATTAAAATTATATTGTACCTATTTAACATACTATACAACTAAAATAAAAATATAAAACTGTCGATTTTGTGTTTGAAGTATTTACATATGTACATACGTAACTCTTATTACAGTCCGGTAGTTCTTATTAGAATCTGATAGTCGATGTTTATTTAAGCAATGGGTGACGAGATACGCAACAAAAACTCGGCTCTCTTTGTAAGTATACTGTAACAAGTTTTGTTGGGGATGATAGCCGCCGATGCATCACACTATAGCCGAGTCAGGATTTTCTCTAATTGTCAATTTCTCCGCAGTGTCACAAATATGTAGGTTTTAGATTTATTTATAATATTTCAATGGATGTCAACACTATTTGTATCTGAACATTGGCTTTAATTTTTATACTCTGTTTGAATCTCTTGTTGTGATTTTTTAGTATTTGTTTTTTATAACTTCCATTTTTTACATTTCTACAATTTGTTATAAGCTATAAGTGACAATCATTCCAATTTTGCTCAAGAATTTTGTTTATAAATAAATAAGTATATTTTCTAAATATATTTTTGAAAAGTCAAGAATTATATTTATACTATTAGGTATATAGAATTGAATCCTTATACTCAGTGTAAATAAAAGAAAATGAAGTCCGTCCGTTTATACACATTTATTGTAATAAATAAAGTTACCTATATTTTATAAATGCATTTTATTTCCTGGCTGTGTGTATATTATGCAGTTGTACTTACTGCATAATATACACACTTCCTACAATTTCTGAACAAAAATATATTGCAAATATCTAATCACAGAAATATTTGGTAATTTATATTCGATATACAAAGATGTTTAAAACGTGTGAGGACTGTATATATTATGTATATTGTGATGAAAAATAAAAAAAATACTTTAGCAATTTATTAAATTAATTAGGATTGAATAGTAAAAATTTGGAATTAACCGGAATTTATATGTAATAATATCATATTATTACATATAAATTCCGGTAGGCGAAGTATAGGGTGGCCCGCCTACTTGTAAAGGGCTGTAATGATGATTACATAAAAAAGTGTATACTCCTGGGCACAGGCCTTCTCTCACTTCTGAGAGGGTTTTAGGATAAGGAAAAAATATTTTTATTTAATAATATTAATTAAAAGTGTCATTTAATATTTAGTCATTGTAACTGGACAGAAAAACATTGTGTCTGTAGTTAGAAGATAAGGTCTGAGTTTTCAACCGTCAGATAAAAAGTTTTCCAGTACAGTCATTCAAAACTGGGTAAAGTATTAATTTTGAAAACTTGGTTGGGAAAACAATTACATTTGATTGTAAATTTTAAGCAACAGTTTTTAGAAGCTAATTGATAGAATCAGGCGTTATTTGCGGAAATCCATTATAATGGGGTTGTAATAAACTAATTTGCTTAATTCCGCGTAAAGAAAGAAAATGATGTGTCCTGCCCAGTTATAAGGGGACCTCCCACCCCCCCTCGATCGCGCGCACTATACCCGTCGCCGTCAATCCCAGCACTACCGCCCTCAGCACTACCACACTAGGCACGACACACCACTCTCGAAAATACGACACGTGTTTCGTAAAAAATTAAATTTGTAGCAACAGGAGTTAAAAGACCGTCAAAAGGTAGATGTTCGCGATTTTTTTATAAATGCCTGTAATTTTTAAAATACATAGCAAATATTTTTTTTAATATTTTTCTGTTAACCTATCACCAGATTTCGGCTTGACGTCGATTTCTGGGACAACTTGTATATATTATTGAAAATAATAGCAAGTTATTATATACATACATATATACTATAATAGATGCGATCGCACCCTAACTTGCTATTATTTTCAATGCTAGTATCGAATCTGGCGTGTTTCCTGATTTAATGAAACATAGTAAAGTTATACCTTTATTTAAATCACATGTACATTGGACTCTACTAATTTTAGACCTATTTCTGTACTGCCGACGCTCAGTAAAGTTTTTGAAAAAATTATTCTAGATCAAATGTTAAGTTTTTTAAATGTAAAAATGATGCCGGTGTTGAGCTAATCAATATTATGCATATTTTATGTGCATGGGAAAATTCAGAAAATGCTTTGGGTATATTTTGTGACCTTTCCAAGGCTTTCGACTATGTTTACCATGAGACATTAATCAGGAAGCTACATCATTATGGTGTAAAAAACATAGCGCTTAAACTTATTATGTCATAACTAAATAATAGAACGCAAACAGTTGTTAGTAATGGATGCAGCTCTTCCGGATCGGTATATCTATGGGTGTTCCTCAGGGCTCAGTTCTTGGTCCTTTTCTGTTCTTAGTTTATATTAAAGGCTTACCTTACTTGGTAGGGAATAACCACGATATAGTATTATTTGCTGATGATACTTCGTTGATTTTCCGACTAAAAAAGCAATTATTGAAATATGACGAAGTGAAAAATGCTATATCAAAAATAGTACACTGGTTTAACGTTAATAATTTGCTTTTGAACGGTAATAAAACGAAATGTATTAAATTCACTACACCTAATGTTAAACAGGTGAATACCAATGTGCTTTTAAATGCGGACAGGCTGGGCCTTGTTGAATCCATTGTTTTTCTCTGAAATATGGTTGACGCGAAGCTTCAATTGGGCTATCATATATCTAAACTAGTTAACAAACTTAGTTCGGCAGTATATGCTGTAAAAAAGATTAGATGCTTCACATGTGTTGAAACAGCTAGATTAGTTCATTGTAGTTATTTCCATAGCATAACGTCAAATGGAATCTTGCTATGGGGTAATGTGTCTGACATTGAAACTATCTTTGTTTTGCAAAAGAGAGCCATAAGAGCAATTTATAACCTAGGTCCGAAGGAATCCCTTAGAGAAAAATTTAAAGAAATAAATATATTAACTTTGTCCTCTCAATATATTTAGGAAAACTTATTGTATGTACACAAAAACAAAAATAGGTTTATTAAAAATAGTGATGTACATTCTGTAAATACAAGGAACAAGCACAAGTTAGTTATACCAGTTACTCGACTCCAAAGAGACAGTAATTTTTTTATGAGGCAATGTATACGCTTTTACAACAAAGTCCCAAAGAATACGCAGACCATTTATATCATCATCATCATCATTACAGCCTTTCATAAGTCCACTGCTGAACATAGGCCTTCCCCAAGGAATGCCACAAAGCACGGTCCTGAGCCACCTGCATCCATCGACTTCCTGCTTGGCTTACCAGGTCGTCACTCCATCTCGTGGGGGGTCGCCCTACACTTCGCCTACCGGTACGAGGCTGCCACTCGAGAACCTTTCTTCCCCATCGGTTGTCGGTTCTTCGAGCTATATGGCCGGCCCACTGCCACTTCAGCTTACTAATCCGTTGGGCTATGTCGGTAACCATAGTTCTACTGCGGATATACTCATTTCGAAGTTTATCACGCAGACAAACTCCGAGCATAGCCCTCTCCATAGCTCGCTGAGCGACCTTGAGCTTCCTCATATGGCCAGCTGTGAAGGACCACGTCTCAGTTCCGTAAGTCATCACTGGCAACACGCACTGGTTGTACAATTTCGTTTTAAGGTTTTGAGGTATGTCTGACGAGAAAATGTGTCGTAGCTTCCCGAACGCTGCCCAGCCGAGTTGAATCCGTCGATTGACCTCTCGGTCGAAGTTGGACTTACCTAGTCGGACTATTTGTCCCAGGTAAACATACTCGTCAACAACTTCGAGCTTAGTGCTCCCAACAACTACCGGCATAGGTGTGACATGGACATTAAACATAACATAGTGAGCATAGTGCTTAGGTCCTCCAGCGATTCTACCATAAGGACTATATCGTCGGCAAATCGAAGGTGAGTGATGTACTCGCCATTGATGTTGATACCGTATCCTTTCCAGTCCAGAAGCTTGAAAACGTCTTCCAATGCAGCGGTGAAGAGTTTCGGGGATATGACGTCACCCTGTCTTACACCTCTCTGCAATTGGATAGGTTTCGTACTCTGGTTCTGTACTCGGATAGCCATCGTAGCTCTACTGTACAAACACTTCAACACTTCGATATACCGACAGTCAACTTGGCACCGCTGAAGGGACTACAGCACCGCCCAAATTTCGACGGAATCAAAGGCTTTCTCATAGTCCACATACGCCAGACATAGTGGCAAATTGTACTCTTCGGACTTCTGTACAATTTGCCGAAGGGTATGTATGTGGTCTATGGTGCTAAAGCCCTTTCGGAAACCGGCTTGTTCGGGAGGCTGGAAGTTGTCAAGTCTGCGCGCGAGACGATTCGTAATGACTCGAAAACAGCACGTAGACGCGGCTCAGAAGGGAAATCGGTCTGTAGTTCTTCAAGAAAGCGTTGTCACCTTTCTTGAAGAACAAGACCACCGCACTTCTGCTCCACGACTCCGGTGTAATGCCACCATGGAGGACGGAATTAAAGAGCTTCTGAAGGACTTCAAGTACCGGTCTTCCACCCGCTTTCAGAAGCTCCGCTGTAATTCCATCCTCGCCTGGGGCCTTACCGTTTTTAAGGTGCTGGAGAGCCATTCTAATCTCGCTCAGACTGGCGTCCGGGATGTCTTCGGAATAGTGTCGGATAAGACTCGCTCTTGGATCGTTACTCACACTTGCGTGTGGCTTCAACGATGACGTGTACAGCTGCCCATAGAACCTCTCAATCTCCCTCAAAATCGCTGGTGTTCCGGAAGCGACGGGTCTTGCAGAACTTAGCTCCGACCGCATGGACAGTTTCCACGAGCTTGTCATTCATATCGTCCACTTCATTGCAGTCTTCTAGGCACTGAAAACGGTTTTGTAACTCGAGCTGAAAGGTTTCGGGACTTTGAAACAGAGCACGAGGGGGACGGAGCGTTGACTTCATTAGACGAGACCTCTCCAACTTAACGTTTAGGTTCAGTGTGCCTTTAGAGGTGGTTAGCCATTCGGTGATCGCTACCAGTTTTCACCCTCGCGATCACGGAGACATCACTGAACAGTTGTCGTCTGGTCGTCATAATGAAGTCAATCTCATTTTTTGTCGAACCGTCCGGGCTCGACCAGGTCCACTTCCTGTGGGGCCGCTTCTGGAAGAAAGAGTTCATCATAAAGAGTCCCTCTTTCTCCATGAAGTCGGCCAGCTGCTGGCCCCTTGGGTTCCGTTGCCCTATTCCAAATTTCCCTACTTTCAGCTCACCGTTCTCTCTTGTGCCTAGTTTTGCATTGAAGTCTCCCATTACCACCGTATATTGGGTTTTGGTGGAATGCATGGCTCTAGAGATATCCTCATACATTTCATCCACCTCCTCATCGGGGTGTGCCGAGGTTGGTGCGTAAACCTGTTAGACCTTCAGCGAATACCGTTTGGTGATTCTGAGTATAACGTACGCAACCCTCGTCGACATACTCCTGATCTTTATAACGTTGTTAACGAGAGACTTGTGGACGATAAATCCGACACCTCCTTGGGACAGATGGTCGCCCTCCCGGTGATAGAGCAAGTTGCCGGATTCGAGGATTACCGTGTCCTCCCCCTCTCTTCGGACTTCGGATAATCCTATAATATGCCAGCGCAACTTGTCTATCTCTTCTTCCAGCTCCACGATCTGCTCGTCAGTCCTCAGGGTGCGTGCGTTGTACGTTGCCAGGTCGAGTCGTCTAAGGTGGCAGCCGAACCTCCACCGGA